AAATCATTTAATTTTAAAACATTTCATATCGAACTACAGTGTTAAATTAAAAGAAAATGTTTATCATATTAATTTGGTTTTTATACAATGTTCAATTATATTTTTGATTAATCAAAAATATTGTAAACTAAAACCGTAATACAGCAGTTATAAATTGAATATCAAAACATTGTATTACTTGATACTAGAATCGGTGTAACTTTCTATACTAGAGTAACTATCAATGCTATCTATCGGTTAACATAAGACAAAATAATAGTTAAACGTCATAACAAAAGGGAAAGAGTCATTCGAGAAGAGTAAATAACCATTTTTAGAAAGAAAATACAAATGAAACTTTCTAAATTGTAAAAATGTTTGGTTATTATATTATTCGTAGAAATTTATAGAAACATAATTAATATTTGATGGGTCACCAAAAAATAAATACGTGGGTGTCTTCAAAAATTTCAGATTTTATGTATCTTATTGTGAATAAATTATGTTTGTACTATAAGATTGTTTGGCTTTTAACAAATACATTATTACATTAATAGATTAATTTAACTATTTATGATAAAAATATAATACTCATTTAATATTTTTAGCAAATATTTTAGCTAATTAATAAAATCAAATCTTATGATAACCGTTATTTTCTTTATTAAATTCTTAATTTCATTTATTAAAATCATTTATTAAATGTCTAAAAATTGAAATGGTAATGTTTTACCTAGAATTTTACTACTTATACACATAGATCTATTAAAGAAATAAAAAATACGGTAAAACTAACCAAAACATTTTTTTTTTTACCGAAACAAAATTGTGTGAAAATGTTATAACCTTTACAAAATCCATATGGTACCGTCCTGAATTTATTTTAATGAGGTTTAAAATAAAAAATTTGAACGACGAATTGGAATGTGGCCTAACTGCTCACGAGTCATTTACTCTTCGTACCCTCAATATAAGCCTCAGTCCTATTACGCCTACTTCCGACTTATGTTCCGCATTGAATTGTTGTATTAATTTAAAAGGAAATTAAGTATCATTTGAATTTAAATTATAACCGAACATACATATAGAAATCACGTTAACCACTATGTTAAATAATTAAATAGTGGAAATTTACTGTTTTGGGAGTAACTTTTTATTGTGTGGGTTTAATGATTCGACACTAAATAAACCGTAAAAACAATAATGTAATATTATGACAAAAATAGTAAATCCCAATAGAATACTGAATTTTCTCGTTAATCTTTAAAATGTTCAACTTTTATTATTTTTTTTTTAAATTATTCTGAATAGTGTAGTTATAGAAATACCATGTGTTTTCTACATTAGTTTTGCTATTGGAGTGTTTTATTATTTTAACCTTTTTTGGAGTAAAGGGTCGCACAAAGATAATTGATCTAACAATACGGGCACGCCGAGCACTACATTCTCGATTTCTCAAGACGCTTATAAAAAATTCTCTTGATTTACATTTTGTCACTACGAGAGATCGTTTTAAAAGGAATAATTAATAATTTTCATAGCGTTACGTAATGTCTAATGAGATACAAGAGGCACTGACAATCAGCACTCGTTTAATAAAACTTTAAATTAACAAAGATCAACTGTTATGTGATTCATATTATAACCTAACATTGCGCTGTATACGCTAAGTACATAACCTAACGCCTATCTGAAAGTAATTAGCCTTAGAAAATATAATGGAGACATATCTTTGTATTATCAAATCATTATGATTATGATTTAATGATCATAACGTTGCAAATTTTTCATTTTATCAATAAACTTATGTGATTTTGAATTGGATTTAGCTGTAAAAAATATGCAAAATCAATATTTTTCCAAGTTTTGTATTTCTAATACAATGAAATTGAAAATTTAAAAAATAGTTGGAACCCAAAAAATACATTTATTTGTTAATAATTTATTTTCTTCGATTATAAATACGTCAGTATGAAAATTCATAAGTTATATTAATTACCAGTACGCATTCCATAAGTGACCTTTAAAATTTATTTTGAAAACTAAAAAAAAACCTTCCAACCAAATCGAAATAGATGTAGTTAAATTGATATTACCGGTATTTATTTGTATATTTTTAACCAACTAAACGAGACAAACATTCCGAAGGAGTCCGGGCGGCCAACGCTGTGCTTGTGTACAATGCGCTCTAGACTGGTGTCAATGCCCTGTAGTTTTTTTTGGGGAAACCATGTTTTTTTAACGATTTAATTCGAATTAGTTCATATACCCTAATGATAAACTTTGTAATTCTATTATTCTACCGTCCTATTTTACACTCACTTTATGACCATTTCGCACTTGTGACAATATAATTTGACACTTTTTATTTTACTCAGTTGCAATGGCACGACAGTCAATAATTCTGTTTACATATTACATTTTGCCTATTTGACTATTTATTTTTAAACAAATCAACGAGTGAAATAATTAACTTGAGAAAATAAATTTTACTGTAAAATTAAACCACTGAAATATTTTTATATTTTTTAAGTCAAAGTTCTAAAAACTAATACTATAAACTGTGATTGTATAAAAATATTTCATTAGATATATTTGCAAATTTTCTATTTTAAATTCTTTTGTTTTATATATATATATATATGTGTGTGTGTGTGTGTGTGTGTGTGTAAAAGGTGTCCCATCGTGATTTACTAATTTTAGCATCATTTTATATAGTCAAATCACGGTGGAACAACCTGCACACATATATATATATATATGATAAAGAAAAAATAACAATTGGATATTAAAAACGTATCACAAATATATGTAAATAATAACCCACAACATCCGTAATCAAACATGGTGTTTATGACTTGATAGCTATGCGTTCAACCCAAAAGATAATAATAAATTCACTTGCTAAGTAGTTGTTAATATTTTTTTCAACACTAAAATTTGTACACTTTATCATGAATAAAATCTAAGAGATGTCTGTGGCTTAACTTGTCAAAAAAATAATACTACCGCCAACTTTAGACAAGTAAAGTTATTTCAAAGGACAGTCGCCCCTCACATACATACATGTATACTAGCAAACACTAAAGTAATTATCAATGCAACTTGCAAATGAATTTGCGTCCTACATATAATTATGGCTAACTCATTTAAGATAAATTGGGGTAATTTTAAATGTATTTTTTTAGATTAATGTACAAGTTTTTATTTAGAACGTACATTTAATATGATAACAATTCATAAAAAGAACAGAATTTTTCAACTAAAAAACAAATCTGCTAAATATTCTAAGAGAAAAATGAACTTACAATTAACCTATTCGTTTACATTTACCCTACTTGACCCAATTATGTTCCATATGATAAATTATTCGATAAAAATGAAAATTGATGTTCTATAATAATAATAATAATAATAATTCAATATTATAACATTTTTAACAAAATTTGAACTCCTTAATAATAGTAATGGAATATTTTACATTGATGTAAATTTCGTTCAGCTAACTATAAAACAAAATTATTATGTTTTTGTTTAAACACAATTTAAGTGTTTCATTAGTTTTTTAGGAACATATTGACACATCATATTTTATTCGATTAACTTGACCACAGATAGTATAAAACCAATAACTATTTGATTATTTTAGGTCAATTTTTAACTAAAACTATGTTAATAAATAAAAGCTTATGTGAGTACATTAGTTAAGAGACAAGAGACAATATGATGATGGTAAAAATTGTTATTTTTTTATGACCATCAATACCAGATTATCGTATCATGCAAACGTTTGTAACACAATTTATATTAGATTTAGAACATATCCCATTAAAAAATTCTGAATCTATGAAATCATTTAGCATTCTATTTCTACATGCTGCTATAAATACGTAAATGGATATTATTTTTATGATGACATATCATCTCTTGATATATAAATAAAAATTTACTTTATTAATTAGATATATGCTATTTCTTAGTAACGTTTTTATAATTTTTTAACAGACATAAGTTACCCATAAACACAAAAAAAAAACCATTTGAGACTAAAGCTGCTGAAGGTTTGAGGTCGATGACCATGATTACAATTATGTATTTTTCAAACTTTTACTTGAATTCAAATAACACACTCCTACAGTTTTATAGGAAAAAAAAGGGTGAACAATTTTTAGACGAAAATAATGGAAACTACCAAAACAAATGACATGAATCATTCACCTCTACATAAGTGTTTGAAATACAAATATTTTGCCGTTTTTAATTACATAATCTAGTGTAAAATAAATAAGTAGGAACTTATCTGCATCACGTTCCGAGATAACGTATTGACAAGTAGTCAATAAACAGTATTGAGCTCAAAGTAACCGCAATGATATCAAACTTTAAATTTTGTCAAATTATCAATCATTACTAAATTATTATAAAATAACTAAAGTTTATTCACCCGTGTTATTTATTTCCGCAATCCGCCAATGTGAATAATTTAATGAACTTGGGACCGCAGCGCATCGACCGTTGGCTAGGAAGAGATTAGAAAACAATAAGTCCAACTACTAAAATACTGGTATAAATAGTTCAAGGTGAAATTAAAAAAAAATAGGAAATATTATTCTCTTGAACTTGAAATGAAATCACACCAGCTAAACAATACGAAATTAGTCAACCACTGAAATATAATGATAAAAATATACAACTTCAGTATGGATTTATATTTTTATCATTATTTAAATTTAATAAGGAAAAAAAATAGAAATTGTGCCGTTCGCAATAAGGAATAACCCATGCACGGTTAAATTATTTATAAATAGCAGCAACAAATCTAATCAAATATTAGTTTTGCTCAAATGTTATTTGAAAAAAAAATTAAAGGAACATTTTGTGTGTAAATTATATAAAAAAATTATTTGCACATAAAAAAAATGTGTACAGCAATTTTTAGACTTTGGGCAAATACAGATAAAAATAAACATAGGAACAATTAAGATACGGTCTGCCTCGGGATACTAGTTGTGTGTGGAGCTTTGAACTTGGAACGTGCAATCAAATTTCATGAAATTATCATTTACACAATGCAACTGTGGTGGTATCAGTTACACAGATCGTCCGAACTGGCTTGTTATTTGCGTCACTGCCTCACAATATTATTTGCCGGCACAGCATTTCTACGGGTTCTCGTCCTAATGCATAGCCCACCCGATTTATTCGTTTTACACATTCACAAGACAAATGCTTTGGTACGTTAAAGAGACCAATAAACTCTGGACGTTTTTATCACATCCGTTTTCGACCACCAATCTGGAGGAAAACGCCGTGTTTGTTTGCGAGATTACCACAAGCGTTCGCAAAAGGTAAACGACACGGATGCGCTGTTATCAATGTAAGTAATTCCTAACTCTGCTAGTAACAGACCACCAAAGTACACTCTGGCGGTCTATCACTCTATTGGGCCTATCTAAACGGTGTGTGTGTATACAAATGATATTTACATTGTTTTCCAAACGAATTTACGAAGTGAGGTGGATGCGTTTGGAAGAAGTGCTGCTATGCCATCGACGGCGAACAAAACACGCATTAAGCCAACGCGGAAGTGGTGGGCTGTGGCGCGCGTATGTGCGGGGGTGACCGTTGGACCCGCTGCAGTGACAGAGTTCGTTGAACCCAAGCCCGGAACAGCAGGCGCGCGCGCAAAATGCTTTATGGCGCGCAGGCCAGCAACCGTCACACACACACACCAAAGGGATGCCCGCGTTTTCTTACGTTTAGAAGACCCCACGCAATATCAACGAACGTCCAAAGTACGTTCAATTGTCAATACAATTCAATAAAAATACAATGAAATCAAAATTCGCATATTGTCGACGCGCCGTATGAGCTACTCGCCAAAATTATCACCTCAGATATTGGGGAAAATGGTGATGGCGGAAAATAGTAAAACATTTGCGGCGTACATACATCGACGACCGTTACGATACACTTTCGTGGAACGAGAGCGGTGCGTTCCGCCGATCGATCACAGGCCGGCCCCGGTCGGTGTTTTGTTATTTTTATAACACCGGGAGAAGTAGGTTCATTGGCCGTCCTTTGCATCATCTGTGGCCGCCAGTAAAGAGCATGAGGTCATGAACCTTTCTCGGCGCCGCCGCCGCCGCTATACGTGTACGTACGTAACTACAATGGGTGACGACGCACTTTTCCCTCATTTACTCGCACATTTATTTCGAATTTCTCCCGTAACAATTAATTACGAGTATTATACGTTTTGTTATTATTTTTTTGCATAAATTATTCGTCGATTAATATAACGCGCAAAATAACATTGTAATAACATCTTTACGCCGAACGAGTTAGACAGTGTACTGGACTGATCGCGTTCGTACGCGTAGCTGTAGGGTCAATGAACTCCCGGTTTTTATCGTTTTACTTATGAGAGCGATGTGCGTTTTGTAATATTGGTTTTTTTTTTTTTTTATATCCCGACATCGCCAGATTTTTTTTTTCAGTGATTTGCCTATGAATCTAAGTAAAACACTATGAATGTACGTCAATAGCGTACAGAGTATACGACGAAGTACTGCCGAAAATCGAAGGACGTTAAAAACGTTTACTCGCCCAGCTATTATAATTTATGAGCGGTTTTTGGAGATTAGCTATTACCGAACACAGAGAAAAATCAACAGTATTTACGACGATAATTGCAAACCAGGAGTAATAAAATTTATTTGTAGTCACCGCTGACGTCATCTTGCCTATAATATAACAAAAAAGTCCCACAAACATTTAAACAAAGAAACGTTATTATTAAGTTGTTTTTAACCTATCCAAACCCTATTATGGATAACGTTGCACGTTATTGTGTAATGTAATGATTAATATTGAATATGTTCGGTGGCTAAAAAACATGTTGTTGTCGACCGGTCGTGGACCTTTGACGCGACAGGAAAATGTACCAAACAGCAGATGATGACGCCTCGTCGGATTGGCTAAACGCGTAGCCGGTTTTTTATTTATTTTTGTGAAAAACGATACAATCACGACTAATCGTGCGTACCCGTGAACTTGCCACGGTCCGACCTTGGTCGGTCCCGTTCATGTTCAGATACACGAGGCTTCTGGTCCAAGTCGCGGCAGTACCGTTGGAAAATCACCGCCATGCCAGTGTTTAATTATTTACTACGGTTTATATTCTCTTAGGCCAAATCGTTTGAGGGCAGCGCTAGTGTATAGATCGGACGGCGTTATTGTGACAACGCAATAAAACGCGTCCACACCCGTTTGTCACAACAGATCGAAGGATAGATTACACGCACAGTGCGTACGGAAGGAGGTTTGGATCTTTCCCTCCAAATATATACTCCTTCAGCTCCCTTCGAGTGCGCCAAGGTGGCGGCGGTGCGGGGCGTGTCGTACGTATGGGAGCCGCTCTACACGCGCGCCGTTCGGGCACCCGTCGACCATTTATCCGCGGCCCGAGAGGTCGTTGCTCTCGTTCATCTGAATGTAGGTCAGTAATGAGGCAACGACCCTGGACGACCCCGCTACGCCGCCACCACCACCGCCGCCGCCACAGCCCTCGCTCGTTCAAAACACTCCGTAAGAAAAATAATATTTAATACATAATATCAAACACGTATCGACCTACCCGTTTGACTATTCGCAATCGTAACGTATCGAAACGTCAGCTAAAAAAACCATGCGGTGTACAAATTATTCTAACCGACTATGCGTGTTGGATTTGTTTAAATTATACATACAGTTTTTCAAATGTTCAGCAAATTCGTCGGGATTTGTCGATTGGAAAAAAATAATAATAACAATAACAATAGCAACAACTGTTAACCGCTGCTGATGTCAAGTATGCATACAAATTTTTATTGTCACTAAAACAATACGCATATGTGATAAATTACGACGAATAGGCAATAATAGTAAGAGAAAAAAATAATAATACCTAAATATTCGCTCGTTTCATTAATAATGTTTTCATTGTTTACTCGTTTTTTTTTTTTTTCTGTTAAGAAAGTAATGAAGTTGCGATACCCCAAGAACAAGGCCAAGGCCGGTGTGACCGGTTCTCGGTAACGTTTTTTCATCGTTTCTTTACTTTTGCCAACCGGATCGCCGTTCGGTTTTAGCCTCCGTAGTTGTAATTTATTTTCGAATTTCGCTTTGAATAAAAAATGAAAACTAAAAAACGATTACCATAACATTGAACTTACAAATTAGAACAACCAGTATCATTACGATTATGCCTTTGAGTGCGCCAACAGTTTGTTCTCTCTCTCTCTCTTATTCCGGTTGCCAATTAATGCCTGCACCCAACACTAGAACCGACAACGACGACAACGGTCATTGAACTCAAAACACGCACACCCGTCGCCGCTGCCGTCAAGCACCTCGGCGAGTGTGATCGCACAGCACTGCACCGGAGCGTCGACGGCCCCGTATAGTCTATAAATACATACGCAACGTGTACGTACACACGGCGGAAACGACAACTTTCAATGGAAGTCGTACGACTCGCCGTGTACCTGTAAAGATTTGACTTTCAGGCCTACAGTGTAACACGCATAAAAAAAAAAAAAAACTCATTAAACCACTAGACATCTCATATTGTGTGTGATGCGTTTGCGGGTACTAAAACGTGTAAATGAATTTACTTACATTTGAACGACGTACGCCGGCATAATGGTGTCTGCGAAGATGATTGTTGGCAGTTAACGGTTGTCACAATTGCACAGACGATTTACGGAGTCCTCGGCGTTGGATAGGCTTCAAAAGGTTTACAAAACGGTTACAGACTTGATACCGTTCCGGTTTATACTTTAGGCGAATAATCACACTCACAGAGTCACAGAGCACATTCAGAGAAAGTTCATTACGTTGTATCGTCGGAAATGAACAACTTGGAGAGTAGACGGCGACGACCGACGATGATGGGCCCGTACTGTCGCCACTCACGAGCGCCGTCACGCCCGATCATCGTGTACAATATTTATAGTGACTATTATAAAAATGTGATTAATCACACGGTCGTGTCGATCTTGCTGGCTGACGACACACTGCTGCGTAACACCTCGTCGAACTTTCAAACGGCAGTACGTAAAAACAAACCGGTAAACCACCACAGGACGACGACGACAACGGCGAAAATCCGAAAAACATGTGATTGAACAGGCAAATGATTTTTTTCAGTCGTTATACGCCTAAAAAACAAAAACAAACGGTCTACGACTTTTACGATCCCAGCCCGATCTATCCCGGTTGAGATGTTAAACTTAATTTTTTACTGAATTAATGAACACATAGTTTCGATAAGTCAACCCTGTGTTGTTAAAAAAAACGAAATAAAACTAATGCAATTACAGTACTCGATTTGGATAAGAGGAACGTACTCAAATGAGCTTTGCAAAACCTTAACTCCCCGGCTTATTCTCCTACCCAATTCGAGCACTACGAAAATGTAACGTTTTAAATAAAGGTAATTTATAATAAATTTTACAATGTAAAATTTTAATCAATATTGTGGACCCTAACTTTTGAAAATCTCGGCAAAAAAAGCGAATATTTCCACGACGGTACACTCTCGGGGTCACTGTGACCTGTAAATTACGAAATACGCACTACAAAACACACACACACACACACACACTAATTCACGCACAATTCGAACACTTTACAGCTCGTTGATAAAAAAATTAGACGACACTGAAAAATGTTTTCGAGTATAAACAAATGTATAGTTAGTCAACCGAACGCAGACAATGTAAAATGAATGTATGTATTATCAAAACTATGACGACTTTTGTGACACTGTGTCGTTGGCGGGCTTTCGACGGGACAGTTATTACATGCGGCACGTTAGAGACTGGTGGTCGCGAGCTGATGCCGGCGCAAACTTGGGAGCCGAGCGGCGGCGGTCCGAGCGTGTGCTGCGAATGTACAGGCGACGGCAGCGGGGTGCGCGCGCACAGCGGGGCAACATGTGCCAACAGTTATCGCCGGTCATTGACCTCAGCCGCCGCCTCAGAGCGCGCGTTCATGCATCATTACGGTTTATAAATACATAAAATTATATATTTACACGATATAAAAAAAAAAAAATTTCTCCAAAAAGAACATAAATTTGTTTAATTACCTGCCAGAGGGATTCTCGTTGCGGTCACTCCTAAGAATATCATTGTGACAACTTATTTAATACGGAACACAGTAGCACAATACGGTTACGCATACTGAACGTGGTAATTGGTATCCATTGGTTGATACGTAAAAAGGGTTTCATACCCTCTTAAAACCCATGGGATGTTGCTCACTAACCGTTAATGAACAATATTTGCGGTCGGTACGAAAAACACACAAAACAACGATAATATGATTGTATTAACTCAAATCTAAATAGGCAAATCTAGTTTTTTTAGTCTTGGGATTAAACAGAAATATAAAATATTTCTTGAAGGGAATATTGTGTTATACTTTTTGGTTTTAATAGTAATTTTTATTGAAAGTTCTAAATATTCTTAATAAAAATTATTTTACTTCAAGATAGTTAAAAATTAAATAAAAACCAGTCTTTTAAAGAGCTTTAATATCTACGTGAAATGAAATATATAAATCTAATAACTACCATTTTCAATTAATTACCAATGATAATCCTTTTAGCGCCTTATTTAAACATTTTTTTGAAGAATACTAAAAACAAAAATTATTTATAATTTTATTGAAAATAATATTACTTTTGCTAAAATATTAACGATATTGAAATGTGATATCGCACCAATTTTCGTCAAGAATAACTATTATTTTTTATATATTGAGGCTTCAAATCAGTGGTTATTATATGCAATGTAATTCATGAAAATAATTAGGCTGTTTGGTTAAAAATAATTGCAAAGTATTCTTAATGCCCAAAAATAGCTTTTTAACTGTATTAACTCCCCAAAGAGTTCTCTAACTGTATTAACTTATAAATTTTCCTTTGCCTTTTCGCCCCCTTCAGTTCATGTTTAACCAATACGGCTTCAAATAGATATATTTAATTTGAATGATGTATTTAATAACAAAAAATAAAATGTAGGAAACAAAAATATTGTACTAAATTTAAACAACTTCTTTTATTGTATAAATATTTTTAGCGCCACTGGAAGGTATCCAGTTCACCTCAACATTTTAAAATACCAATTTAAAAAATCATAAAATTTGAAGAATTTAAAGATTAGTATTAAAACAATTTAATCATTAGGAGTTTAATCTCATATATATATATATATTCAGTGAAGTATCTATCATGAACCAATTAATTTATAATTACTGAGTATCCACATTATGATGTCATCGATTAATATCGAAATCACAATATATGGGATATCTAACGACTGATTCAAACGCCAGTATTTTTCGATATATCAAAAATACCATGGTTAAAAAGTATGTATGAACACACGCTTTTACCATTTTCATAATTTACTATAATTCTTGATTTTTAATTTTTCAGAAAAGTAAAAGTAAGTACAGGATAATAAAATACCTTCTCAGCTTCGCATCGAAGCTAATAAAAAAGGCGCTTATAAAAATGATTCATTTGATCAAATCAATTTATCATGTCTCAAGCTCATGACATATTAATTATAAAAAAAAATATGCGTGAAATCCAAAATTCAAATAAGAATAATGGTTAAAATACAAAAGATTATCTTTATTACGTCTACTATCGTAGTGTAGTTGTTTATCAAATGAAAAATGTCTTGCCTTTATAATACACCGAAATAATTTAAAGCATATGAACTTTAAACAAAAGAATCAGTAGGTATACAACATTATAAGTTTTTTAATTTAGTTTAAACAAGTGATGGGCATTTTAAACTATTGAATAGACAATCGAATAGTTTTTAGAACTATGAATGGGCTACTGAATGGTTTCAAAAAATATTCGATTAGTTTTACCTAAAATTTTTATTAAGAACACTTAATTATAATAAGAAGAACCATTCGAATATATTGTGTAACTATCGAACATTTTTACTATTCGAATAGTTCGATAGTTACTATTCGATATTTCCCATCACTAGTTTAAACGTGAAAAATTTTGTCTTTTAAAAACACGCGAGTCTAATTACAATTTGTTTTGTAGAGCGTATTTCACATTGCTGCATTAGTTCAAACGATTTTGTCAAATAGGTAGGTTAACCATTATGAATAATAATAATTAATACTTTGAAGATATAATAGTGGCCTTGATTCTTTTCATACATCTGCAGATGTTCCGAGCACTTATTTCAACATTTACTGTATTAGAAGTGAAAAGGTTAATTCGATATCAAAAAATATATTACCCAATCTTAAATTCAAGAACCATAGGTGCAACTTAATATTTGGTAGGAGGTGAAGTCCTAGTAACTTTAATACTGAGGAAGTTGTATCATCAAAATATATTAAATACAATCTTAGTTTTGATCGAAGAAATATTCAAATAAATACTAATATAACTATTTTATTCTGAAATTTTGAGGTAACCTTAAGTTTCTATACTGTTTTTTTAATTTGAAAAAATTAAAAAATCGTTTCGAATTTACTTACCTTAAAACCAACGTCAAATTAAATAGACGTTTCTTTAACAGAACTTTTTGTAAGCTTTAATTTTTATCAAGTATGCATCAATAGTTTTCATGATAATGTTTATCTTTTTATGTAATAAAAAAGTGCTAAGTTTCGAAATCTTGTAAGTATAAATTTTCTTCATCAATGTTTAACTGATCTTGAAATAATCACGCCATTTTCCGAAAACATTACATTAATACTCATGAATAAAAGATCAAATATTGTTAGTCTTATGCATATTAACTTAAATATTAAAATATTTTTAATATTATATGTAATAAATCGATGTAATCCTCAAAAATTTACTTAACTTATTTTGATGTAAAACTTTAAGTTGAAGATATGAACAAATAAAATTTTAATTAATAGTACGTGGATAATTGCAAAATATTACCTTTTCAGTAGGGCTGTTATTTTTTATATTGGTCGAATGACTTCATCTTTTTTAAACACGATTTTCAAAATAACCCTTCATTTTGTTTTTATATTAAGTGTTGCTTAAATATTAAAGAAAAGCAATAAAAAATCAAAATAAACTTATGATATTTTACTGACATAAAGTAAAATTCACCATAGATTAGATAAGATCTTATCTACTATGTGGATCTATCTTATCTTTATATTTAATGCTAAATTTGGTAAATTAAACATTTACTTATGATCAATTTAATTTGTTTACCAAAACGTAATAAACAAAAATATTAAATTATTATTATTCTTAGTATGAATTATTATATTTAAAACTGAGAAAATATTTCTTAGAAATTATATTTATTAAAAAAAATACATGTTTGATAAAGATTGTTACATTTCCTTTATAAATTTATCTAGTATTTAGCACGTCAACTAAAGTTTTTAATTTTTATTCTACAAAAGAACAAATGTCCGCATAGAAAATTTAAATATGATTAAATAAAAACAATCTAACAGAGTAATAATTTATTAAGTAATTTTACATAGAGACATTTGAAATATTTAGAGCCAAGAATTCGCTTATGTTAAATCAGTGTAACGTTCAACCAAAAAAATATTCTATTCAATTATACTATTAGTTTCTTTCATTGATTTGAGTGTTGCAAAAGTAAAGTTTTTAGAGTTTGAGTTTATAAGTTAGTAAAAAAGTACTTTAAGAGTTACAATTTTCTGAAACTTCATTCAATAAAAAAAATTAGATAATATTTAATTATTATTATTTTTCTAATAAATTAATCATATGCAATACAATAATTTAATGTAAATTTAAATGTATATAATGATTTTCGTCTAATAACCATTAATTATTTTAATAGCTAAGAATAAATACCAACTAAAAATAGAACATATTATAATAAAATGCCTTATGTTGTTAAGCATGTTAAAAATAATGCAAAAAACTGTTGGATAATATATTTATGTAACTTCTTAAACTATTGGCTTAAATTTAAAATGACTATGCTTTTGTACTTATGTAAAAGAATTTATTTTTATTTTAGGTTCAGTAAAGTAGAATTTAGTTTTTTTAATCATTTTTAGATTTTAAAAATTACTTAAATTTTTAATAAATTATTTAATATGTCCTAAACACGATTGACAAAAACAAGTTAGTAAGCTAATGACTAGTACCATTACCTTAATCAATTTTTTCAACTTTTTAAAAGAATTATTAGAATTTAAAAATCATATACCTCATCTTCCCATAGACCAGAGGTATAATTGCATAATAATAATACCATTTCTANATCTACTGTTAATTTAATTATTATCTTTATTTTATTTTATTTATATCTGTATTCATTTTTAACTGTAATGCTATGTACAACCGTATTGAATTGGTAAACTGTGTCTATAGGCAACTCACAAAGTGAGCAGTCCGCTGTATTTTTATTTATATTAATAAAGTTGTTTATATATATTAATGGACATTTTCATTAAATCTATCTTATTGTAATTAACTTTAATTATATTAAAAAATGACATCAATATTAAAAATTAAAAGTTATAGGACTACACAATTTTTTTTTTCGAAATAAGACATTTTCTTATAACTACTAATTTTACTTTGTAGTAATATTGAATATAATTATGTTAAATATCCAAATAAACATAATGATTATTAATTAATATACAGCAATATAATATAATTTAATTTAAATGAATATGAACAGAGATGAAATTTAAAATGTGTCCTTTAGTTTAAAATTAATGAAATTTTTTTAATTTTATAATAATTTTTGTATTGTACAATTGAATTTTATGACATTTATTTAATTTGTGATTTTATAATTTTTATTTATTTCTTTAAACTAAATTTCAAAATTTTTAAATATTAGTTTCGTTAAATTTAGTTTATTATTTTTTCTCTAACATTATAGTTTCTATTTGTAAAACTTAGTATTAAGTTTTACCACTACTTAGTATAAAAGAAATTGAACACAAGTTATTTAAGTATTTTGACTGCATAATTGATACCATGTTTGCTAATAATGAAATTGTACACTTACATAAGTTTTAAGAAACAGTTTTCTTACAAGTTTTAATTTACTTGTAATTTATTAAATTATATAATTAGTATTAATTGCTAAATATACTTTTTATTTAATTTAAATATTACAAACAACAAAAACTGTATAATTTCAAATTTTAACAAATTAAATCTGATCTTGAAATTAACCCTGAACCTATTAACTATAACACTGAACTCTTCTTATAAGATTTTATAATGATCTTAATTTTTTATAATTATTATATATATTATTTTGTAATGTAGAAATAGTTTATAATACTATTTATTAGCTACTTATTACTCTCAAAGTATTATTTAAATTAGTTGTATTGCATAATACTTTTTTATTAATTTTTGCATTTGGTATAGTTTTGATGTGGCAAATGGGAAATTTGGGCATTTTATTCTACACTACTAATTTAAACATAAATTATTTTAATGTTTAATAACAAAATATTTGTTAATCATATTCATTTCATTGGATGGATCCCAATTATTCTAGTAATTATTATACTTTATTACTATTCTTATAGTAGAAGTTTTAACCTATGAAACAGTAGAATAGTAATATACTATATTCTAGAATAGTGAAAACAATTTTTGACATTATGTCAATGTATAGTTTAAACCTACAAAAAATCAAATTTTTCACTATGATTTAAAAAATAATTTTTCACGTTACCTTCAATGTAAAACTTAATTTTAAAAATTTCTTCTTTTCAAAAATAACTTAGCTATGTTGAAATGGATTTGTGAACTTTAAAAGTTGAATAATGAACTACAACTTAAAACTTAAAACTTAAAATCCAAATTTTATGAGTTAAATTTTTGAACTGAAATATTTTACCTTATATTCTAGTGGCGTCCTCTCGAAGTAACAATTCATACTTTATAGATAGTAAAAAAATTGTTAAGTGATGTTGGTTACATTGATTTTATCATTCATTTTTATTACTATAATGTTAACTAAACTGCTAATCACTGATAAAATATATTACAAAGATGTATACAATTCCACATTTATTAAAATTCTGGTTATAGTTGAAGAACAATTATAGCATAATTTAAGTTCATATTAATTTCATCCAATTAAAATAGAAATTAATTCTTTTAACATTTAAGAATGGCTAAACATCATCCAGATTTAATATTTTGTCGTAAACAACCAGGCGTTGGTAAAAAACATTTTATATTTTATTACGTATAAAAATTAATTATGTATAAAAATTAAATAGCTATTGGACGTTTATGCGAAAGAGATGATGGTAAATGCGTAATTTGTGATTCTTATGTAAGACCATGTACTTTAGTACGTATATGTGATGAATGTAACTATGGCTCATATCAGGGACGTTGTGTAATATGTGGCGGACCAGGAGTTTCAGATGCTTACTATTGTAAAGAATGTACTATTCAAGAAAAAGATGTAAGTTATAGCATTATACAGTGGAAAACTATATTGTTACAGTTTTAAGATCATATCTGTATATAAATACATTAAGCACATATAATTTAAATAGTATTTTTATTTGTATGAATTTTTATCATTTATTTATCATTAGCAATATATAATAGCATTTTGAATATTACTAACATAGTTATGCATTTACGGATCTCCGAGTCTTATATAATTTAAACACTCTTAAAATATTTACTCAAATTTCAATACTGGCTCTCATTATTATTATTTGTATAAATCTTTAATCTAGACTAAATTTCAATTTTAAACAAGAGCTATAAACAAAATAATTTTGTTTTTGGCAATTTTTCTTTTATCTATTATATTAGTAGTTTTATATAACTAATATATATCAAATTTTTTATAGTGAACAATGTAAAAATAATTAAAAGAAAACCTATATTATAAAACGACCCATGGAACTTAATTGAACTTAAAATTTAGATTTATAAAAATGAATTAATCAAAAAAATATATTGGTTTTCAGTTTTTAAACTAATTAGGGTTAAATATTAGTATTGGTTATAGTTTTAAAAACGATTTATACAATTATTAACCTTGCAAATCTTACTATATGGTAAAAATTTAAAAAACCAAAATAATTTTAGTTCTTAGCGCTAATTTTAAAAGAAGTAAATATAAAAAAGAATAACGATTTTAAATTATTGAGGTTATTTATTATTGTGAAAATATTCAAATGTGATTTTATTAATTATCATAGTTAATGTAGATATGCATACAGAGATAAACTCCTGATCATTCCATTTCCAAAAAATATATAATTTTATTATTTAACCTTTTATTTAATGACTTATAATTTGTTTTATTTTTTATAATTTTTATTTAATATTTACGATAATAATAATTTTTTACAGAGAGATGGATGTCCGAAAATTGTAAACTTGGGTAGTTCTAAGACTGATCTATTTTATGAAAGGAAAAAATATGGATTCAAAAAACGTTAACTTCGTCTTTTTTTTTTTTTAATTTTACATCAAAATATTAATTATATTATAAATTCATAAACTCATTTGGTGAATAATTAAATAACTACAAAATGTACTATTATTTATCAATAAATTAAGAAACATGACTAAACAAATTTTTTTATCATTTTTGACTGTGATATGAGTACTTATTTTTTTCTTGCATAATAACAGTTCATTGAATATTCATCAAATAATGGATCTTTTTTTACTACTCCATACCAATATGCATTTTCAAGGAATAATGTCAGTGCACTAACTATGTATCCAGTTATCAGTACAACAAAAGCCCCATATAATTTTTTCAAGTTCATCAAGGCTTTAATTTCTTCAAATTGTTGTGGTGCTTCTAATATTATTGTATCTAACATAACATCATTTAACCATTTTTCTACTAATCCAGCTTCAATTACTCTCCTTAAAAATTTATCGACAGCAGGTTTAATTGGAGAATTTTTTTGTAAACCCAGTGATATTGGCATATTAATTGTACAATTTGACATGATATGTAGAGTGTAATCTCCATTTCTTGTGTTATTCAATGTACCTAAACAGTACAAAATAAAATAAATTATTGAAATGTTGAGTATAAAGTGTGAGATAAATTTAGATAAAAATCTGTAATATTTTTCCTGTTTTAGATATTTATTTATTTATTATCTTGCAAGAGTTAAAGGGTAGTAATTACTATAGAGTTCTACGAATAATTAATTAAGTTATCATGATTACATGCTTAATATTTAAGTTTAACAATAGTTGAAAATTTACAAATTATTCCATAACTGTTAATTTGTAACTATGATTAATACTTATCATGACTGTTGCAATGAACTAAAGTTTAGAATCAAATTTATTTAATGATTATCTATTAACTGTAATACCATTTATTATTTGTTGATATTGTTCAAACATTTTTGATTTCTGCACAACTTTCATGTACCTTAGAAAATGTATATTATCGTAATAGGCAAACTGCCCATTAGACACACGGTCAATTGCCTCATCAACATCATATACTTCTTGAAATTTTTGGCCAATATGTTGTCCAGTTTTATCTAAAGAAGTTAAAAAAAATTCTCTTGATTGTTCGCCCCATCCTCCACAGTCAACATTACTATCAGCAAGAGCTTCTAAAGTATCAATTGTTATTCTAAAAAATAATATGATTTTATATTAGCAAACTTAAATTGTTTGTTTGTATGAATATATAACCTTGTGTCCGGGTTGGCAAGAATTGCAGTCATACTAGCTTTGTATGCAACCGTGACAAGCAAACAATACATCCACCACCATCCTGTTAAAATTCGTATTGCCCAACCAGTTGGTACTTGAGGAAGAGATACAGCCATAAGCATTCCATAAGTATATAGTATACTGTTTCCTATATTTTCAAATAAATATAAACCAGCTATATGATTTTTCTCATTTTTCATATCTTGTTTTTCTTCAATTGATTTGTCTTTGTAACTAATAATGAAATTTTTATGCTCAATTGATTTTGGCTTTTTAAGTAATAATTTTATTTGTTCAATGATTTCTTTTATTAGTTCTGTTATTGTGGACGAGAGGAATGTTTTATTATTTTCAGTAGAAAGAGTTTTTCTTAAACCATCACTTGAAACTTCACTATGCTTAATGTGATAATGTGCTGCTGCCAAAGCGTAAAATAAAAAGCCTCCGATTAACAGTGTAATAACTACACCAATCCACATATTCAATCTAATTATAAACCAAATTTTAATTTTAAAATGTATAGTTTATGTCAAGATATTTTCATATTGTTCATACTGTAAGAGTAGTGAAATTAAAGGAGTGAGTTTATTTATCCTTAGGACAAAAATAAACACATTTGTTAATTAATTAAGATAAATTGTATTTTGTTTGAAAGGGATTATGAAATATTTTCTTATGTGTATCTTATTTTATTTATTACAAAATTGTAGTTACACCATTAAATAGTGTAGCACAATTCAACTGAATTACTCTATAGTGTTTATTTAAATGTTTTTTGTTTAGTTACTTAAACGGAAGAATTAAAGTTTTCCAAGAGTTGTTAGTTTTTGACTCAAATGTTAGGAATGTCAGACATTCAGTATTATATGGTATTGATAGATCCAGAATATTTAAATGATATGGCGTATAGTGTAAATTTCCAAGAGCCAAGTCAGCTCGAGCAGACCATACTTCTCCTAACAATCCTGATAAAGTTCCGTTAATTTGTTTTCTACCCCATTGTTCAGTACGCCAGTTATTTGGCTCGTAAATATAAGGAATGAAATTCATTGCACTTGCCAAAGATTTTAGGACCTAATTAAATAATATAAGAATTAAAATATTAAATGTAACTATAATTTTATTATAAATCTTAACATAGGAAGAAATGCAAATTTACCCTACTAAATATAAAATTAACCATTAAATACACCAAAAGGTTATTAATAAGCTTTTAGTGCTATTAATGATCACTTAATATCGAATTATTATTAATTACACTCTAGTAATGGAAAAGTTTATATGATTTGTCTAGTAAAATCATGTAAAATTTTCTAAGTAAGCAATCCCTATCTAATTCTCTGTATGAGTCTACTTATCGTCCTTAGACCTTATACTATAATATAGTGTGGTTCATTTCACACTAGCTACTAGATTTTTCTTGAATTTATTTATTTATTTATTTTTTATATTCATCCCTTATGTCTTACAGAGGTATCGACGTTTTTTTTAATGGCATATATATTTTACTAGCTTATAAAATGAAAAATGATATAATTAAGAAAATGACTGGTCAATAATAAATTTAGGACCCGTATTTTAGAAGTTATTAACATTTTTATACTGAGGCGAAAGGAGAGATGAGTCTGAGAAATGTCTATTAATAAAAATAGTTCACGACTAGTAAATATTTAGCATTGTTAATAACTTATAAAATATTGCCCCAAATATTTCATCGACTAATGATTTTATAAAGTATATCATTTTCTATTTTATAATCTAATAAAATATTTAGATTACCATTTAAAAAAATAAAATCGACAACTCTATAAGACTACAAAATATCTACAAAAGAAATTTTATTTTAAGAGAAATCAAGTGCTAGTGTTGAATGAATCACTCTGTATTAGTTAAAAAAAAAGGTTACAACAACATCAAAAACAAATATTTAATTGTCGTTAAGTATCTTCAATACCTACTTATCAATATAATCAATACCTCAATTTCTAATCCACTAACATAGCCACTATTTTTTACGTCCTGGTTATCCGAAATATTCGACACAGTTTTTACCGCTGATGGCATATAGTTAAATGTAACAACTTTTAATGAATATCCTTGTAAATCTGATACTTTATCTCTAAATAAGACAGTTTGTTTTTGAAATTTTCGTCTACTCCATAAATCTAACCGAAGCGTCACCAGTGCACCTTTGATGGGAGCCGGGTAAGGCACCGTAGACAATTCATAGATTTGCTTTTGTTTAAATTTTCTAATAAACACAACATTAATTATCTTTGTCCATAATGTATGGTGCTGTTTCATGAAAAGTCTGAGATCATGTAATAAAATGAATTTAGTTTTAGAATCCATAATTCTGTGCCTAATTATACGAAAATTGTTAATATTAAAAAAAAATTATGTGACATTTATGCTATTATAAATGTTACTAATGTGTTGTATATTTGATTATCTACAACCCGGGGTTAATATGGTAAAAAAAACTTAAAGAAAGCTATTACCAATGTACTATTTTGAGTGATCCTCGTATCCAAACAATTATAACAATTTTATAATTTTTTGGATACATGGCAAGCTTATAAAATATTATATATATTATAAAAACGTCTATAGCTCAGAAATCAGGTATCTTACAAAAAAATTTAAGTGAGGAGTAGTAATCAATATAAAATGACAGGTACGAGCTACTTAAAAAAAAAATTAAGTCTATTGTATATGTTATTTATTCTGAGCAAAATAGTTTAATATGTGTAATATTGAAACAACTCTTAATTTTAGAATTATTTTAAATTTTGAAAAATATTTGTATATTACGCGTGTAATTCGATCACACCACTTAAGCAACATTAATCCACTATGAACCGCTTTAATTCATAAATACATGGTGTATAAGTTTTAATAATAAATTAGTTAAATAAAAACATGGATTTTGGTGCAATTTTAAACAAAAATAATTCACTTTAAGATAAATAATTTATCTTTAAGTAAATGTATACGAGTAATTTTAGTACAATTATTATATAAAATTGGCCGTATACATTTTTTACAATAAAAATATCCAATTTTTTAAGTTAGCAACTTTTTAAATTGAGATACATAATGCACTATATAATATTTAAGAGTTAATATATATATGTATATAAATCATCATAAAAAATCATATTTTAATTTTGATGTAATTGCTGTTTTAATGACATCTAAAATTTTGACATTTTACCATTTAACAGCATTATCATAAATTTATTAATAGTAAATATTTTGATAATTCTTAGGTTTAGGGAAGTGAGGCTAACGAAGATTTACCTACTTACTTATCGTTAAATTTTAAGAGTCTTACTACTTGATCTGCATTAAGTATTAATATTATGTTCATATCACACCCTTCTTTTCTAACTTGGTTCAACGTTTGCCAAGTATGGTAATTTGGGGACATCATATCTTCAAAATCATCTAGCAGCGTCTAATAACGTTATTTTAGTTAAAAAGTNCTTCAAAATCATCTAGCAGCGTCTAATAACGTTATTTTAGATAAAAGGAAAATAAATTATTTAATTCGTATTAAAATTAAATTAATTACGAACTTTAAAAATTGATACTCCAATAATAGATGAATAAAACGAATGACCTAAAATAGTGTCGTGAAAAGGATCAACAATTAAATTTACACATGTAGCAGTAATTTTCCATTTGTCGATTAAATCGATGGCCAAATTTTCAAAATCAGAATTAAACTTAATATTTTTATAGATCCTATAAATTTAGAGTTTATTATGTTGAATTAGGCATTAAAAATCATTAATATATTTTTTTATTAAAATATACCAATTTTGTATGATATGCATAAAATCAATACATACTTTAAACTGTTAGAATTAGCAATACACCAAATATTATTCAAACCAATGTCAAAAATGAGAGCTGTGTTAAAGATGTTTACAATGAATTGTTTGCACATATTAAAACAAAAGATGTTTTAAAACGTCAATCATAGATAACAAACACTTCCTTACTAAATTTTTTTTTATTTGGAAAGCATAAAAAGTTTTCCATTCTATTTGTGAATTGTTTATTATCAATGTATATTTATTAGGTCCGGAAATAAAAGAAATAATTGAAATTCAAAGAAAATTTTCTTGTATGCTAATGATAGTTAGATGTTGCGTGCAGCGTTTATTATGTTGGGCGATATTAGCTACTAGAATAAATGAGATTTATACTTTCCTATGAATATTTAATACAGTATTAAATACAACAGGGACATTTCCCTGTTGGATTCAATGCAAAATAATTTGTAGGATTTTTATATACTTTATACTATAAATTTACTACGTTTCTTTTATTAAGCAGATAAATATATAATTATAAATATAAATACTATTCAGAGTAAATTTGGTTAAGTTTGATTTTGATTTTTTTTTTATTAAATAAAAAGAAAGTGAAAATGTAAACGGTAGTTTATATTTCAAACTTGATTATCCTCAGAGCCAGATTAAGAATTATATAGCTTTCATCCGAATTTTATTTGAAATATGTATCTTAGTAGACTACAGTCAGCTTATGGGCCAAATAAAATTTTTTTGTTATAGTACAATTAATAAATGAATCTTATGTGATCTGGGTTTGTGTAAATATCATCAGATATGTCAACATAATTATTGCTGTTACATTTTTTGGAGAATATTGTGTTAATTGGCTACACTGTTGTTCAATAGCGTTTCCCAGTGCGTACCAACCGTGGATTTTCCTTCATTCAGGCTGCAGCTTTGTTGTGATTACCACTGCGTTAACCATCCCCGTCGACGGGTGTATGTGCGAGAGAGACTGACAGTGCATTTTTATGTGCCCGACCGAAACCGACAAGTGAGTCGTCCCCGTCGTCTCTCCGTCCGCCACCGCCGTGTTTCTTGTGTTCTGTGTAAGTGTTTATATGTGTGTTTAAAATCAATTGCTTATGTGAAATTTACTGTTTAAGTACTTGCCGTTTAATTATTAATTTGTAATTTAACTGCATACTTTGTGAACATTGTAACATTCGTTCGTTTACCTTAACTGTCGTCTTCGGTCAGATTTCGCATTAGTCGCATATAGTTATCGATCAGTTCTCTTGTTTGATCGCCTTGTTTTTGTTTTGTTATCTTACCGATAATTCTTTAATTCGAGAGATGATTAAATATTCATTTCCTCTGCTTTAACAAGTAAAATAATATGGCTTATAAAATCTTAAGTTTTCGCTCAATGTGTGTTTTTCCAAGAAATAGTTAATGTTTGTGTTTATGTATTTTCGCAATCTAGAGGAGACAGTGAAACATCTTACTTAAAACGAGAATAAATATTTAAATCTAAAAGGAGATCTAGGATTTGCAATGTTGCAATGATACCTTACTCATAATGAAAATCATTGATTTAACTATACAGAAACAAGTGCTGGCCTGTGTGATAAGGCTTTTGAAAAATAATCACTATGATTTGTCAACCAATGTGTGACAAGCTGTTAAAAGTTTTTAGTGGACCGTACGACTAATTTGCAGTATTGACATGGAAACAGATATTAAACAGCGCACTAAGCGCAGTAAACGACGTGAAAGGGCCCAGCGTATGCATGCCCAGAAACATGAAATGGATAGTGGTGAAGATGATGAACTTGTAGCAAAAGAAAAAGTTAAAAGGCCTCCCCCCCCTAGTCGCCGAAAAAAGAATAAAGATACTGCATTATTTGATGAAGATGTTGTTGATGGATTTGCAATTCTATCTTTTAAATCATATGAAGACTTAGAGGTAAGTGTTAAATGTTTATATCTACTTATAATTAAAAACAATTAATTAAATTTTACATATTTGAAACTATACTAAGTAAGGATATAATACTGCTTTTATTTAAATACTATTCATTATAAAATAAATTTACCTGTAAATATTTTTATTTAAAGCTACTTTAATATTTTTTATAGTACTATGACAACTTACAAAAGTAATTCAATAATTTAATTTTTTGGTAAATTCAAAATTTAACTATTTTATGTATGTTGTTCATTAACACAAATAACTATGTATTCATTTAAGGGAAGTTATTTTTATAATAGCATTTAATATTAATCGAATTTTTTAATATCTTAGGTATTTTTCAACTTTAAAGTATTAGATGTTAACTTAAACTTTGTATACTTAAAAATTATATCCTAAAGGTTATAGTTTATTAATCTTTTTAGTCCATAGTAGTAGGTTGAATCCAAAAGTATATTATTTATAATTTTTTTTATACTTTACTTTCAATTTTAGAATTGTTCTTAATTATTATACATTTTTTCTTTAGATTTGTATTTATATTATCATACCAATTATATACTGTTTCTAAAAAATAGATTATAAACTGATACTATGGCTATTATTTTTCAAATAATATTTAAAACATTTTTAAAAGTTATTTAATTGTAAATAATGATTTTACACTATTATTTAATAAGTTGTAGTTTAATCAAGATAATAATCCACTAAAAATTAAATTAAAAGAAAATTTTTTTTTAATTTTAAAGAATTGTTGACAGTTTTAAAAAAATAGAAATGTGTTTGCATATGTTAGATAGGTATATTAATTTAAGAAAAACTTAACTCTCTTGATAAGTCTTATTTTACATTTGAATACAAGGTGTGGTTATGTTTTGAACAAATTTAAATCAAGATTTATTACAAAAATATGAATGTATTGAATAAAAATACCAGTAGTAAATTATGTATAATTAAAAAAATATGTGATTGTTAATTTCTACTACTATTATTATAAAATGATGCAGGGGTTATTTTATACAAACATTTTTGTTGATTAAGCAATATTTAATAAATTTAAATATAAGATATCCTGATATTCAGAACATAATTATGGTTGCCGCTCAATCATAATCAAATATAAATTTTAAAATTCCACTTCTGAAAACTTGACATCCATCCTAAGTGGGGTCATCCAATTAGACTGTACTTTTATTGAATAATTTTTATATATTGTATACATTTTTTTTCTTTTGAAATCTTTTTTCACTATTGAAGTACTTTATTTTTATTAAATTTATAAGATAAATAGTGGGTTATGTTTTTAATAAAGTGGTGTTGTATCAATCGGCTAGTTGTATTTTTATGGCTTTCTAAATAATTACATAATTGTTTGACACATAATTTTATCATAGCAGATTTTAAATGCCTATTAAATAAAATTAATCACATAAACATAGATATTCAGATCTAAATTCATGTACTTTGCCACATATAGAAGTAAAATTTTAGAAATGTTTTTAATTTAATATTAATAATACTAAGTATTTATGTGATAAATATAAAATAAATAAAAGTGTAATTACTCTGAAAATATATTAAAAGAAATTTAATCCAATTTTAGGATAATCTATTTATATAAAAAATTCAATTAATAGGTAATTTTTAAATACTTTACTGTTGATTATTTGAATTACTTTTTACTAATTTGTCTTTAAGATAACCTCTGTAATAACTTGTATATGGTAAATATCTGTTTCTTAAGTGATGAATATTCATCAATTCACGATTTAATCATGATTTTGAAAGGTTTTCTGTATTTTCTTATAGTTTTATTGGTTGTTAAAATATTTAAATATTGTATATGTAACGAGAATTTTATTAATTCTAATCTCTATAAATATATATAAAGGATTGTAAATTTAAAAAAATTGTTTAAATATTATAGCTCAACAAATTTGAATCATCAAATCCAGTATGCTTGTGATTTATGATCATTTTGAAAACTGTTGTTTAAACACTTTAATGTCTATTTATTTTGAAAATAATTATCACAAGTATAATTTGTTTTTGCATTTATTGATTTGAAATTTCATATTTATTGTTCAATACTCTAAAGGATGACAAATTCAAGAGTTTATTTAAAATTCAAATAAATTTCAAATATTATTTTGAAACTAAAAAATATTAAAAATGTTTTAACCAAAAAGCCACAAAAAATACTAAAAGATTTCATATACGTATTTTAGGAATAATGTTACCATCATTAGCACTAAATATATACTATTTATAACATACTTCTAAGTTTGTTTCAATAAATTATCAGTTAGAATACAATTTTTTAAATTTTTTACATGCGAATATTACATAAGAAATTTAATGACTATATGAATTTTAGCTTGATAAAAAAAAATTGTACTGGAAGAAAAAATTAAAAGTATTTTTTATATTTTTGAATACATAGAATTATTTAAACTATATTTTTGTGTGTATATAACACTTGATTATTCTTTGAATTTTTGACGTTATGATAACAACTAATAATTTTTTATAATTAATTAATTTAACTTTTACAAAATTATTATTGATAAATTTGAAACTGCACTAAAAATAATTGATTTGTAACAAAGATATACTTTATTATGAGAAGTATTTAATTAAAAAAAAAAATTGGTGAAACTAATCATTGTATGTAGTTTGATTTTCATGTTAATTGGATAATGGTATAAAGTGACTCTACTTGCAATTTTTTTATACTTTTTCTCATCTTTTGTAAGTACAAGTTAAGATTATTACATACTTTTTTTTTTTTTACGACATAATAACTCAATTTATTTCAACTGGTAGCTATTGTAATAGTTATATAAATTACTTAATAATTGTGGTGCTTTATATTTAGAATCTTGAGATTAATTTTAATTTTTTGTTTTAATTCATTTCTAGTGCCTGTTCAGATTAAATTAATTAGATATTTTTTCTTTCCGTCGGTAACGTTTGTTTTTACTCTTTTCTCTCGTTTAAAAATCCTCATGCACACATCAAATTGTCTACAGCCGTACCATCAATCAGAATTGTCCAACTACTTGCCTCTCGATTACCGGCCTTTTTAATAGAGATACTGAGAAATAGCTTTCGAGCTATTTCTTAAAAGAAATAGCATTCACGTCGAAAAATATTTTGATAATTGCCTTAATCGCATGATTTTATAAATAATTATACTCTAATCGCCGACAGAAATACTCATTAAAAATAATAACCCGGGTGTAAGTATATTTTGAGTTTTATGATTCGTGAATGTTCAATATATCATATTGCTAATGCTGTTCCGGTTTAGGTTACGCAGGTATGCTTTTGGTACCGAAAATATTAATGTCATCCAATGTTATTATCATAATCATTATTGTCGTGATGATGCTGATTACAATTATTATTGTTACTGTATTTTTGTTGAAAACTAGATAAGAGAATACATTTTGTAAAATATGTGAGGGACGGACAATTGATTTTATCGCACTCGCGCTCATGACTTGTTATTATTTAAAAAAAAAAAAAAGTACACGTATCTTTTTTTAGTACAAAAATATCTTTTAACCGACTGCCACCCATACAGATACTACTTTATACTTTGCTATTGCGTGACGAGATCGATTTATTTATTCCAAAAAAAAAAAAAATGAATAAAAAGGAATAACAATAAAAACAAACTAGGTAGGTTCGAATGTACAATAATGGGAAGATAGTCGGGTGTTTTTATTATTAAACGGCGGTGAGGAGATCGCGATTGTTGTGGTGGTGCGGTGCGGTGGTAATTTGTCCGCGTCATGTTTATCCGTGTTCGTTGGACGGCGTGCCGCGCGATCCGTATGTCCGAGCCGGTTCCAGCGTTGCCGGCGGCATTCCCCACTCGTCCCGCCATTTGTATGGTCGGACACACGCGGCAGTTGGTTCGGCCGCGATCGATCGATACTCGTCACCGGACGACTAGTGAGCGGAAGCCTGGGATGAAAAGCGGCCTCAGCATCTTCAATACCCAGTAAGGATAGCCGCCCTTCTAGCGTATTGTTTCCTTGGAACAAATTCTGCCATTTTACTACCTCGTGATATGGTCTAGCAATAGATACCGCGACTATTTATTTGCAGTTATTTATTTACATGTTCCTGATTCCCTTTCCGACCGATTTAATTGTACGCTAAATGTAATTTATGTAGCCGAATATTATCTTGTAAAATCCCTGTGAGCTTCGAAAATTAAGTAAAACGATTGATCACTTACAATGAAATTGTATGATAACTGTCAAATAAACGATCTTTATATATAGCGCTTTTAAATAGTAAATATGCCATTACGTCGTGTCGATGCATTTTTACTTTTATGTTAATGGTTATTTAGAACCGAGTCTAAGTCGGGGTTGCATCGCAAATTATTTAGTATTCTACGTTTCCATCCATTGTCTGTGGCAAAATAAGTAGAAGTTGCTTGTTTTTTATGCTCTACGGACCGTTAACCTTCTCACACGTGCCTAATAGGAAATCCGTTTATGAAATTGAAATAAAAAATTTTCTTATGACTAGCTGATGTATCGTAGCCATGCGCTAGTATAAAATATTACATTTAAAATGAATGCTGAGTCTCGTACTGCACAAATTGACTACAGGGTATACCCGGTGGCAATATTGCAAAACGAGTTGAGTCATAAAGTTTTAATGGAAACGTTGCTCCATGATTAACTAACGGTTAAACGCATATTATAGTGATAATGATAATAAAATAATAATCTATATGTCGTTTTCCCATTGGTTCCAGTTAGCAAAATTAACCGTATAAAGTTTTAGTTGCCATAAATTTAGTTTAATTTTGGCTATAGTGATATTCTACCTCAATTGATAGTAATTGTAGTAATAATCACGGTTTTTATGAGAGTATAGAATGGGTGATCGAAATTTATCGGCTCGTACCATTGATTTAAGTATTTTTTTAAAAAAAATTCTATTACGTACCGCTGATCGTAATTCATTGAACGTGAGATTTTTATTAGTTGTCTACAGAGGTAGATTATTTTTATTGCAGTTTTTGTACTGTTTTAGTTAAAATGAATTAATCATGTAATTGACGTATGTTTACTAGCTATAATTGGCTATATGTCGTGAACCATACCATGTATGTTTATTTATAATATTTATGTTAAATATATTAAAATAAAAAATTATTAAAATCGTGGGATTAGAATGGTCGATTTAGACTGGTTTAAAATATGTCAATGACAGATAATATTATACAAGTACATTGCATAGTAGATGTTCAATTCGACTCGAGTGGGACTAAATATTAAATAGGTAGTTATTATAGTGTTGCAGGATATTCTACAATTGCACCTACATGATTTTCTTTTTTGTATGTTGGCAAATTTATCTGCAAGTCGCACTCGTGAAAAACAACATCATCGGCTGGATTATATACAGTCTGGACCACTTGCTTTTATGATTACTGCAAAGTAATTAAACAAAGACTGTTTTACGACTCTCCCTCGATCCCCTCGGCACTCGACTCGTGCGGTAAATAAAATGAGACTTCAACCGCGTTATGATAGATACTCGAAACGCTATTTACATAATTACTTCTTCGCAGCGAGAAAAATTAAATAATATTTCATCTTCTTTTCATAACAATAATAATAATTTGTATGAGCGCGTAGACGTCGTGATAATTAAACTTGGTTGTTAACGCAAATCCGATTTAGTGCGATTTCTTCGTTTTGTATCTCTAAGAATCTTCAAAGTAAAATTCATTACTTTATATTAAACAATAAAAAGTTTAAAAAACAACGCAACTTATTCTATTGATATGATGCAGTGTTAAAGCGGTAAAAGCTTTTGACTTTCGTTTTTATTATAAAATAATTATGCATGAGATGCATCCGTTAGTTAGACAAACAGGTCGACCCTTCGGTGTGGGTTCGACACAATTATGTTTCTTGTACACCATCAAAATTCATGTTGGGGGGGTATTTTATAGCGGTGACCCTTTGCTCTTAATTGTATTGTAATAAATTGAAACGCTTTAAACAAGTCATGGTTATTAAGCAGTTAAATGGGTTTCATAAAATATTATTTAATTAAGCGGTTTAATTATATTTTTATACGAATGTTTTTTTTTAATTAATGAATATAAAATCTGGCTAATTATATATTATTTATATTATTATAATTCATTATTTTTTTACACTACTACCCTACGTTGTAATGTAACATATTATGTTCAACAGTAGATAACGCGTGTCAATATTAATAGTAGCAGTAAAAACATTTTAAAACTGTGAGATATAATTTATTCGTTTTGTTGTTTTGATGATCTCAAAGAACAAATTACACAATATAACGCTGTTAAGTGTATTACTTTGTAGTTATTATTACTTATAAGAATGAAACCCGTGTGTGTTCGCGACCCTAAGTACTGGTGGAATATGTTTGTAGTATTACAATGGGGTACGAGCGTGAGTAATGCGTTTTGCGGGCCTTCATTAAAAAGCTTTCCAAAGCGATTCATAAGTTTTCTTGTGTAAAACATGGAGAATTAAGCGGCTGCACGTGAGATACTTAAAAATAAAACGTTAAGGCGTAATTGGTCTTCAAACAAATTTTCTTGTTTCTTATATAAGGGATAAACTTATATAAATCATAAACTGTTAAAATATTTAGAATCTCTAATTGTTTTTGATAATTATACTTTTTTATGGCTCCTAAGTTAAGTAGTGGACTTACATCCCTGTATACAGCTTGTGCTTTTATTACTGATATATTTATATATATATATATAAATCAGTTCTAGTAATCTTAAAACCATAATTATAATTGAGTTTGTTTTGTTGTTTCAGACTTGCGTGCAACAATGTTTGGTCAAAAGTGCTGTCACGTTGGGTCTAGACCCGTCGTCACACCGCAAATATCACCACCGGAATCATGTGCACAACCACAACAACAACAATCATCATGATAGCAACTCCAGTACACCTGTCACTCCAGTGAAAACCGAATATAACGTACCTAGTCCTCCCACGACGCCTAACCACTTCAATCATAACAAGGTAAGCTTTGAGGTAGCAATGCCTACGTCGTAACACGAATTCGTGTGATTTTTATTTTTCATGATGATGTTAAGATTATAATTTTATTTATAAAGAAATAAGATTTAGCAACTCTAAAGAATGTTCTGTTTTTTTTTTTCAAAATTAACTTTTTTTATTAGTTTTCTCTCAATACATTTACTATACAATAAACCAAAGCGTAGGACGTTTACAAAAGACTTGAATATTCATATGAACCAATTACTATACATACAAAAATAAATATAAAAACACAGGTGTTTTTTTTTTCATTAAATTAAACATTATCATAAATAATTGACACTTATACATATTTTAAATAGCAGTTTATTTTTTTAAATAAACAATAGTACCTATTAAACTTAAAGAGAGGACTTCTTATGATGTTAAATTTTTTTTTACTTTTTACTATATAAATTCCTTAGTTACTTTCGTCAAAAGATTCATGAATATCTTACTTTGTTAAAAAACAGTTAATACTTTATTTAAATGGAAATAAATACTGTTATAAAACAAACTTGTGGTTCTTTATAGACTATTAGTAATATGGTATTATAACTCTGTTATTATTACATTTATGTATTTGGCATTTTTATCTTGACAGAGTTTTTTGTAATAATTATTTTAATTTTTATTGATTGGGTATACCAAAAAATATAGTTTTTATGTTTCTACTCAAATTACTATTAATATTTAAAATTATTCAGACCATTGAATATTTAATATTGTTCAAAACGAATTAGCGATACTATATATAAAATTTTTTGAGAAATTCAATGATAGACTCAGATTTTTTATAAAATTAATATATAATGCATTGATTTAATAATAAAAAAGTTTTCTGTGAGATTTAATTTCACAGAAAACTTTATATGTTCAACTGTAAATTTGACAAAAATGAAGTAGGTGGTGTAGTTTTTTATTCGACGATTTTGAAATTTATACTTATAATGTGAAAAATAAAAAAAATGTGAAAATATTAGTAATTATTTTAAAATAAGTACCAGGTGCAATATTTAAAATTAATGATGTCAATTTTTTGCTATTTATTATTTACTATGATTTAATTTATTTTGCAATAAAATGAAAACGTTTTACATGTTCATTTTATAATATTAATTTTTATGTGTTTTTATTGTATAGTATGTATTACCTATTGAATCGTGTGATAAACAATTTGAATTATTAATTCTTTTTTTTTGGATTCAGTAATTTTATATTTTATTGTCATTTATTTTATTAGAATTCATCGTCCCTGGATTTGAAGAATGACAGTGAAGGCGGAGAAAATGATTCATCGTTAGTGAATTCCAACTCGGTACAGTCATTTAAAAGACCATTTGTTGCAAAAACTTCTTTGCCAAACCAAAGCGGCCATAGACGGTCTAGTTCAAGGGAGAGATCAAGCGATGTGAGTTTATTGTTTTATATTCAAAATACTTCTTGTTATACATTGATAAATATATAAAATTTTCTGCTATAAATATTGCAGGCTAGCAGTAATTGCAGTTCTGGCAGAGGATACATCGTAAGTATTCTGTTATAATTCTATGTAATTCTTTATCATTTTTAATTTCAACCGGTTTTACTAGTGTATCATACGTTTTCATTCGAAAAAAAAAAACATTTTCAATGGCGAGAGTACATTGACTTTGAGTCGCAATGACAGTTTATATATATATTTTTTGTAGGTTATTAAACATATAATTGATTGATTATATTGCAACGCTTTATTTGAGCAATAGTTTCTATTTAAGTTTATTGCCGTTTGTATTTATAAAATGTTTAATATTCATTATTAACTCGATATATTACACATAATTCTCGTAAAAAATGTTGATCAATGATATTTAAAACTGTAATTTTAAGCTGACTTATTTATTGATAATAGGTTACAATTTATGTACATTGTATATATCAATATTATAAAATACACCAAAAAAAGTTCCTTATATGATACTGTTTATTAATTTCACGATTTTATATAAAGTATACAGGGCGGTCGGTTTATTAAAAACTACTCGTTTGCTCGCAATATAATACATTATTGAAAAAATATTTATTTTTTTTTGTATATATACATATAATTCTTGTTTTATCAGCCACTAATTACTTTTTAGAATCGTCTCTTAGTACTTTTTGGAGTGTCAACTTTATTTTTCCAAATAGAGTCATACGTAATAGATAATGATTTAATTAAGAAAATGACTGATTGATAACAATTTTTGGATCAATATTTCAGAAGTTTATAATTTAAAGTAATGGCTGAAGATAAAAAGTGGGTGGTGATAATTTTATGATGAGACCTGGTATTCTTCTAGATTTTAAAATGAGATTAACTTCCTAAGTACTGGTCGAAAAGTTGTTGTCAACCAGTCATTTTCTTAATTAGATCATTATCTATTAAATAGGCTAGTTAATTATGTATGTCTAAATTTTGAAAAAATAAAGTTGACACAAATAAGTTATAAGAGATGATTTTAAAAAGTAGTTAATAGCTAATAAATCAAAATATATATATATATATATAACTAAAAAAAACAAAATTATTTTATATTGTATTTATTTTGCGAGTAATTGAGTGGTTTATGATTAACCGATCACCCTGTGTTGAGTAGGTTTTTTTTTACTTTACTCGAACTTAGAAAATGTCAAAACTATAAAAAAAAAATTATTTATATTAGTCAAATAATATTTCATCCAGATATGTTTAAAAATTTTAAATAATTTTTATTAACTTATCATATTTAGGCAGAATACTTCCCTGAAAACCTTGAGAATACTTTTTAAGATCATTATATAACCTAAAAAATGATTAATGAATCTAAATCATACAATTGATATGGTCTTAAATACTCAAGGATTTTGACGGATGTACATTTATTCTAAATAATAATATTTAATTTAAAAAGTTATTTTTCAAGTATATGTATTCGTCGTTTTTTTTTTTTAAATTTATAACGTAATAATAATAATACTTTATAAAAAATAAATGTATAATACAAAATGTGAATATTTAAAATTTTTGTGTTTCAACATTGATTTTTTTTATCTAAATAAATATTTTTTTTAATGAATAAAATATAAAATCATTTTTAGATTTGATACAATGACTTTAAAAGTATTTGAAAAAGTGTTTAAATAATTAAATCTATTAAAATGTTTGTTTTATTTTTATTTTTGCAGTGTGATAGTGAAGATGATGGCGATAAGGTAAGGCTACTTCGTGAAAGCTTCTACTATTATTACTATATTAGTATTCAATATTCATTAATTTGCTGAATATACATAATTCTTTTCTTTTTTTCAATTTAACTTTAAAGTGATATGTAACTATATTTTTATTTTAGACTGAAAGTTATTTTTATTATTCTATTTATTTATACTATTTAAAGTTTTTATTTTTCTTTCAACACCTACGATTTGAATACATTATACAGTTGTAAACGAATTGACGCTTTAAACAGTAAAACTGTCTGTCGCCTTCATTCCCTAACGTTATTCGATCATGTTATTGTGGTATTTCATGATCTAAATGATAAATTTGTATGTTTTAATGTATCGGTTTCGCAATTTAAAAACTACAAGTATAAATTTACATGACTAGTTTATTTAATTACTTTGAACATTTGTTTGTTTAAGTCTGTTTTAAAATTAACTATACACATAAGATCTTTCATTGAAAGTCATTTTTAATGATCGCGCAAATATTTCTTTCTTAAAACTTTTTTTTTATTTACAATTTATTTTAGTTTATCAATTGTTAGATTACTTTTTTAAAGTTTTTTATCATTCCTAAAAAAAGAAAAAAAAAGCCAATCGTTTGTTCAGCTGTTCATAATATTTACTGTTGAAATGATTTGAATTTACTTAGGTTTAGTTTGTATAATAATATAAATATAAAAAGAAACATATGTATTTTTTTTACACAAAACAATAACCTTTAAACATAATGCATTTAACTAACGTGAAGAATGTTGGAATATACGTGGCACGATTCCAATTAAGAAAAAATCTTGAGTATTGCCAATCAAAAATAACCTTAAATGCACCCGTTCCGTGCATGTTAAAAAGGTACCCGGTTCAGTGTTTTGATAAGTGACTAATGTATCTTCATTTAATTTCAATATTGTACCCTAGATTAATTCATCTTGTTTACTTAAATTCAATTTGATTTACATCTATATTCCGTTGTCACAAAGCTTAGGCTCTAACTTAACACAAAGTATTCAAAAACATTTTTTTTGTTAGTTACACAAAAGTTTTAACACAACAAGATTTTACGAGGTTTAATTTATTATGGGTCCCTTGTAAATACAAATTGTTTAGGAATGTAAGTTATTATTTTAAGCATCATAAATTATCGAACGTACCCATTATTTTTTATCGTAGTAAATTACATTTTAAACGTGTACAATAAAATTATTTTACAAAGTATTGGTTGGGTTAAACACTTAAAAAAAGGTATCAATATAGTACTGTGTTTTTGACATTATGTCTTTTATTACTCAACACTTACAAAGCACAGTATGTAAATTTTTTTTAAGAATTAAGTTTTTGCTAATGACCATTATTACTTGGTCCTAATACATTTAAATTGCAACTAAAATAGAATTTTCTATAAACATCATGTTATCTTTATTTTCGATATTAATTAAATACATTTTAATAAACTTAAATAACTTCTTAGTTTTTTGTAGTTAGTAAGTGTCAACTTCTTATTTTGTCTCAAATAAAACTGTTAGATGTGCACCTTACTTTAAAGCTTAATTGATAAATTATCCTTGATGTGTGAATTGTATTTTAACATTTCTTATTAACTTATTATACTATTAAAATATGTGGGTCATTATGGGTAAACATATCCCAATTTATAAGTGTTTATTGTTGATTGTGTAGGTAAATACTAATATATTTTCTGTTTTCTTGTGTTAATGCTAGTTTTTAATTTATTCATGCAAAAGTCATTTTGTTATTTTAACTCCTATTGTTAATTTTTCTATACAAGGTTTTTTTAAGCTTGTAGTTCTAGAATAACTAAAACTCGCTAATGAACCAATTATGTATGTCTATATAAAATTGATAATGTTTCCTAAATCTGTATTTCTATTAGAATATTTTTTTTCGTATCAAGTTTCAATGACCTATGGGGTATATCAATACCATTAATAAACAATTATTGAGAGTTGATAGGCTTAATTCCTCATATAACTAACGAAAACCTGTTTAAAAATTTAAAAATGCAATACAGTTTGTTGTAATTTTGAGTAACACACTTACCATGTGATTTAAATTTATATATTTCATAACATCATATTAATCGTTTTCTTGTTTCGAACATCATCGTTATTTTAATAGGTTGTAAGTGGCTCTTGTTTACATTTGCTATGTATAATTTATAATACTCATCGATCCAAAGTTTGTATAGTTTTCATATTAATATAATTCCTCCTAAGGCGATAAAATTGAGTTTACACCAATTCATTTTACTGTGTAACTACTGAGTAAACACCATTATAACGTTTTATACTAACATTATTATTGCAACAGTTGGTAGAACAATGTTATCATTATACTTGTTGTGCGAAATGACAATCTTGATTATAACACGACGAGTCGTGTCTTGCAATTTTTACAGAGACTCTTGTACATTATTTTTGTCGTCTAAAAACCACAGACTACCTTTTAACCTTTTTTTAATAACCATCTCTAAATTCAGGCTCGTGTGGTAGTCGTTTTGTAATTATCTTGATTATCTCTATCATAAAAAACAATCTATAGAATATTTTTATTTTCTTTCCCTTATCGACCCACGGTGAAAATTCGGTACCAAACGACCGTAAAAATCTTGTCAGACCCCCGGGGCGCTAACCCCGCTACAGCCACAGTTTTTGTGGTGCTTATTTTTTTATTTCCGTCGATTTGTTCTTGGCCAAAATCTATCCCTCTTTATTCTCCGTCTCGAGCCATCTTGTTACTCCCTTCAAACTAACAAAAAGTCGTGAAGTTATATTAACATCAACAATTCGTTACGATGGGAAGGAGATATTTGGATGTTTTCCTCGTGCAAAACTATAATAATAATAATCCTAATGGTTTCATGACAACTTTTCGCAGCGATGGCGTTGACATGAATATTTATCGCGATACAGAACATTTTTATAGAGTAAAAGAGTCATAAATTTATTCAATTTTTTGTGAAAGTATTGCATTTTTTATTACTTTTTAATACCCCCTGGACACAACAACAGTTTGGTCGACACATGTTGTGTTTACTTGTGTCAAGTGTATTTTTATATCATACAATTATTACAACGACATTATTAGTGAAAATCAGAGTTTAAAATCAACTCTGCATGTGAAATAGTCTATTATCTAGCATGATGTTCGTGCGTCCAGTTGACGATTACATCCGTCATTTTGTTGTGTCTGTTGGTAGAAAAAATACATATTTTTTTTTATCTAACACCAACCAGGTCGATATTTTTTATGAATAAAAGAAACGGCGCGTAAGAGCCGAGTAGGCTGTTGGTTGTGTGATTGCTGCCGATGGTTCTCTCTCTGTAAACGTGCTGGAATTTTCTTTGCTATGTACTTAAATATTTTCCCTCCTCCTGACACACTCTCTTGCACACTTACACAAGCTCACTAAAGTTTTTACGACCCTTGGGGGAAATGTGAGCGGAAAAATATTGGCAGGGGTAGTGTACTAGAGAAGACGAAGAAACCAGAGACCGGCGGCCCAGACGCGTGCGCAACAAACAGTGGCGGTGGCCTTCTCTCCCAGTGCGCCTCCGTATACGTATTCGGCGTGGCGGCGACGTGGTATCGGAGCCGAACAGACCACGAGTCGCGGCGACCGCCCGTTTATTGTCTAGTTGTTCGTGAGCTTATGTTCGGTGCCGTCCGTCGCCGCTGCTCGCGTCCATTACGATTCGTTCAAACGCTAACGTGTTTTTTTGTGTTGTGTAAATTTCATAGTGATAAAAATTTATCAAATTTTATACGAGTATAATTTTTTTTTTTTTTATTCGTTTTAATACAAGCATGTCTACAAAATGCCGCCCTTCGAGCAACCCACCGCTGTCTCCATGACTGTGGACAGTCCTCCCGACAGTCAACCGGTAGGCAAACTATTTTTCCTCTATTTAAAAACAACGCTCGTTATATTCACAACACCCAATGCTCACGTGTTCATGTCTAGTGTGTCTTTGGACCATTTATGAATTTTGAACGATAGCCGCCTTCATATGATATACCCGCACTGCGCTCGTTCGCCGTCGCCGGAAATTTAATGCGCCTTTAATGCTGCTCCGGTTATCGTGTATTATTTTTATGTGTGTGCTTCTATATTTTATTTGATTTTTTTTCGCGTTCGTTTCACTTTAACCATATTCGCGTTTTTATGGTCGGTTTAAAGTCTACACGACTTTACGACGGCGCTCGTCGCCTCCTTGAGGGGTATTTTTTATGGTCACCTCCCGTCCCTTTGAGTCTACGTAATTCTCTCTCCAGCTGCGAAATCAAACTTCGCTGTTGTAGTAATGCATGGAAAATGTGTACGTTTTGCAATATTATGTGCTTATTTTTTACTGTCAGTTGTAGTTGAGAGGTTCCTGATATTTTTTTGGCGATGGTAATCGCTTTTTCAGTTTAGTAGAGATTTTCTTTATTTTTATACCTTTTTAACTTCTTGTAAACATACAACTGAAGACCCTCAAAGTTTTACTCCTGACCTATTTCAACCCGTCTAGCAGCCCACCGAGTCAACAAAGTAATGGTTTATAGTACGTTATTCGTTCTGTATTAGCTTTTTTTTTTTTTTTAACTTGAATAGTAAATTGGAACACTTTTTTTATGACTAATCGATTGTTTTACTATTAAATATTGTGCTATATTTTGTACACATACTGTCTTCATAACTGCTGATGTTTATTATGTTCTCTTCTGGTATTATTCTCCTTTACAAAAGTTCACACTCAAGTTTTGTTGACATTACCGAAATTACCCTCTACAAACATGTATCAATCCCGAGGGATTTACCCTCTGATTTTATTATTTAATGAGCGGCTGCAAAACTATGACTGAACTACTTAATACACTTATGCATTCCACCTATAGGTTCTTTACATAATTGCCTCGTCATACCACCTTTCTTTATTATTATAATGCATTTTTTACTATAAAGATTATGTAATAAAAATTATTTTTTCCTCATCAATTGATTGAAAATTCATACAATAAAAATATTTGGCGTAAATTATCTCGTTGATTAAAAGGCATAGAGCGCTAAATAAATTTAAAGGCCATTGTATGTATCGATTCACGTTATACTCATGTTGGCACTTTTGCACTGAATATAATTAAAGCAATTCTAGAAATAATAATTGATCACTTAAAGCATCCATGACAAAAAAAAAAAAAAAATGTTATGACTTTACTTGGTGTTACGCAAGTCAAAGCAACTCTTAAAATGATTTTGTAACACGCTAGATGGTCCCAAACAGGTGTAATACGATTTTAATTATTACCACTGCATCGATTAAACATAATTTATTAATTTTATTGCGTGAACAGTACGCACACAGAAATACAAATGTTTAAAATGAATAAATTAAAGTCATAAATAAAACTAATAACGTCATCTTGAAATTCATATAATATACGAGTGTGTATTCCCATTTCGAGTACCTATTATTTTATTTTCACTTCATATCAAGCACTTTATTCGAGAAACAGTAGATTGGATTCGTACATGTTAATGTCGTATCTGAAAATTAAAATATAAGTTGTATTTAAAAATGTTCATTGTAAATTATTTTGTCAACGAAATAATGCAACTTAAAATGATAATTATAATTTTGGCTTTATTAATTTAAGTTTCTTATATTTTCTTTTTAAATAATATCAAATAAATAATTATAACAAGTTTTCTAAAAATCAATTAAAATATTGGTTTTAAAACAATTATTCAAAAATCATTATTACTGTTAGTAGTATTATTCTAATTGCTAACTAGAACTAAACCCATGTCTTGTTTGATAATTTTTTAATTACCATTCAGGCGACAATTTGTATACGCTTTAATCTGGTGTCGACGAAAACGATAATTAACATCCTTTAACGATGTCTACTGACTATTTATACCGCATTTTTCATGCTAGTTCTCAATAGCAACAAATTTTAATGGCCATTGCAGCTAATCGTTAACTTGTCGTTTAATACCATCCATAGCTATCAAACAGAGAACTTATGTATTTCTATTAAAAAAAAATGCATCGTTGTTGTATTATATTCTGACGTTTATATCAAAAATATTGCATCTTGTGTGCTCAAATTAGGATATTCATCTACAAAAGTCATGATGTTAAATATTTGCTTCTTGAGCAAAGTCATTCAAAGCGACGTGGTCACCTCTTAGGAGATGTCAATTATTCTGAATTAATGTTTAAAAAGTTATAGTTATGTCTTCTTCTATTAAAGTGAGGTATACTTACTTTATTTTTATTCGATAATTTCTTATATTGTTAAAGTCGTTGAAAGTTGAACTGGTGACAGGACGTACTAGGTACCGTTGTGTATAAAACTGGGCCATATAATTTCTCTTAATCCTATCGTTTTTATTTTTACTCTTTAAAAACAAACTTTTTTACAACAAATAACTATATTAGTATTGATATTTTTGTAGGGCTCGGACAACTCAGATCTATTCCGCACCACTTTGGTTTCCAGGAAAGGTAAGCATTTTTATTACGGCAGTCACAGTAAAACATTATTGCATTACAAAATATATCTTATTTATACACTTTTTAGATGAGCTACCCGGTAGAGTTCCTTCTACCGAGTGTGGAAGTCAACAGCAATCATTACCTTCGGCAACGGTATCGGCGGAACCTGTACCGACGGCGACGACTACTACGACAACGACGACGACACCGCCTAATAACAGGCAACCCTCCTCACCCCCACCGCTAGTCAACGGCATGGACTTTACCAGCCGACCGCCTACCCCTGAAGCGACAACCACCGTCACGGCTGTTACAACAGATACCACGGGTACCATGGATGTGCTATCTTCCGCGGCTGCTCAAAAGTCTCCGCAACAGATGTTGCCTCCGTCTATGACTCCGCGGACCTTACAAGTATCTCAATCAAATAAGTGTCCGTCACCGGTGGCACAGCTGGAACCTACCCCGCCGGGCTCTCATAAGCCTTCACACACTCTTGTCAACGGGCTTGACACTTTGCCTACGCCTCCTATCGCCTCCGCAATCGTAAGTTATCTGAACCTATTCAATTTTTACTGTCATCGAATAATGCTGTTTTATGTTGCTAACCCATTCCTATTTACGAATAGAATCCAAAACAATTTAGATGATGTAATATATTTTTTTTACTTAACGCAGCATCAAAAACATTTTAGGAAAGTATTTTTGAATTGGTGTAAGCCTTGGGTTGCGATTAATCAATGTGCCCGTGTTTTCTTTGACAAAAATAAAAGTTTTTGCTCGTTAAAAATATTTTACACAATCGTATCCGTTTTATTAATGAAGTTTGGCATTGTCACTTGTTAGTAATGCATGTATAACCCTCATATTAAAATTCGGTTCACTGTATAACATTATTTAATATGACCCCTGTGCTATTTGTATAATTATGATATAATTGCATACCAAGATTATAAAATAAATTTACATTGTCATCTTTTGTATGCCATTGCTCGGTTAGCATTTGTACATCGATATTAATCATAACTACTGCGTTCGCATTGGATCCAGCAACAAATCTTGTAATCTGCGCACGCTTCAGCTAGTGATTCTTTGTTTTCCTTTTCCGGTTAATAGATTCATATGAGCTTTTCTACATTATGTTATCATCGGGTTGCTGCTATACATCAAGCATCACATTGATTACCGCCGTAGAAACAACAAGTACTTGCCGGTCACTTATAAGTCTCGAGTCGCATCACTATTTTCAGTTCAAGATAAACCGACTAATTCAATGTCATAGCTATGCTTTTATGTTCAAATGAAAAATTCACATTCTATGTACGAACGAATAATTTTCATGTTTCGCACGCGTGAATCGAGTAATTACTACCAGAGTTGCTAGTAGAAATAAAGAGTCGTCCGGCATTATTACCATTTAAAGAACACTGGTCGCGTCTTGTACGGGATTTGTGTATTATTATTATTATTATTATATTTTTAATCGCAAACGAGAAATACCGCGAAGAATGTGCTACCATTTGTCAATAACGATAATCCCGTTTTTCTACGTTTACCATTAGTTTGTGTGAACTACTGTAATATAGCTAAATGCACTATAATGATTGTGAAATTATTTGATGCATTTTTTCTTTTTTTTTTTTGAAGTTCCTACAAACGCCTGTTTGAAACAGAATCATTAACTTTAGTTTATACCAAAGTTGTTTTGTTGATTGGCTATGTAAACTGGCTAAAATACATGCGTTTCGTTAGTGTTAATTATTACTTTATAGGCTTATAAACGATAATAAATGTATGTTTTTGTGACTAACCTGTGAAAGAGTAAAGTCTATGAAATTTTTTTTCAAGTATTTTTATTTTACATTATTTTTCAGGTGTCTTCGTCGGGATTAAGTAGTCCGAAGAATTTCTCAACAACGGTGCAACCGTCTATCAGTTCATCGTTGACTCCTTACCAGACTCCACCGCAGGCTTGTGCGCTTTCGCTTAGCATTACCAACTCGTACATTACCCCGTCAACATCGCAACATCCTGTGTTGTCTCACGCAGCCTCCAACTACATACCCAAGTCGTCGGCCAGCCAGCCGCCGTCGCCGCTGCAGCACATTTCTTCGCCATACATTCAAAAACCCAACCAGATGCTTTATCATCCGCCGTTGCATGGGTCGCCGTATCCGCCACCGTCCGGATATCATCCGAGTGCGTATAAACCGGCGCCGTCGCTGCTTACGCCTGCAGCTTCATCATCGTACTTGCCATACACCACGTTGCAGTCAACAACGGCAACCGTATCGGCTTCGAGCACTGTACCAAGTACGGCCACTGGTGGTCATTTAACCACCACTGCACCACCACCATCGTCGGTCGCGGCGACTAGTCTGGTTTTGCCATACCAACCGGCTATTCATGCTCCTCAGCATTATCCGCCGCTGTACGCACCTTACCGGAGTACGCCTTATATGCCGTCTACGCTGTCAAGTGCAGCTGTAAGTATATTTTTACATGTTTAAATATTTAAAATTAAATTTTTTATTGACTTTGAAAAGTTTTCCTTGCAATAGTTTTAGTTAATCGTGTCTAAACTTTTCCCAGAAAAGTCAAATTCGATTAATTGTCTTGTAATATGCTGTATGCAAAGTATAATTTCATTGATTTAATAAGTTTAACTGATTGAAAAATGTCTTAAATGTGTCCAAAATTAAATCTTCACAAACTCAAAATCTATTAGAATTTGATTAATTAAATAACGTATTGTTATCGTATAACCATTTAACTGTTTTAATAACAAGTTTTTTTTTAAATACTGACTTAATGGATAACAATGGAAATTATAATTTATTTTTTACGGCAAAGAACTGTAAATAAAAAGACGTAAAATGATTTTCTGCAAAAGAATAAAAAATGTAGATAATAACTCTTATTTCATAGTTTGTTGAGTTTAAACTTTTATTATTATTAACGGCGATGTTTTGGCACGTTTTGGATTTATGTGGATTGCGAACTTTTAACATCTTGATTCGTATATCCAAATAATAATTCAACACAATGCAGCCTTGTCCCTTTATTTAACTCTCTCATTTTCATTCTAACTCTCCTCGTATAAAGTTTTTTATTTTACATTAATATTTTTATTTTGAAAAACTTTAAACAACATTAATAATGAGGCGACTCTGTTACCGAAAGTAAAAGTATGAAAAGTTCAAACAATAATATCTACAAAACTTTGTTGTTTATATGTGATTATGTGCGTTAAAATTTTTATTGAATGGTGAACCCAACTCGATTAATAATAATTATTAAGCACTTTTCTTGTTTGCAATTACTTGAAAACGTGTTATGTCTCTACAAATGTTCTTCAAAAATCCAATGGGAAATGTTTATTAACTACTTCTAAAGTCATTTTATTGTAAAAAACATAATAATTCATATAATGCAATATCAACTTGTATTTATGTAATAACTATTAATATTTTTTATCTCATTCTCAAGTTTTAACAAGAAATGCTCAACTTATCCATCATCGTTAAAAACTTGAATTTTCTGTCGACTCTTACACTGAATACTAAAACTGTTATCAGTACCTAATCAACTTTTAAAGATATTACGTTATTACGGTAAAAAATCGATTTATCATACATTTGTATAGTTCAAATGATCAGATTGTCTGAATATATAAGTACGCTAATAATAATTATAATGTATGTATATTAAAATATTATCTTAGATTAGATACTGTATTAATGTTTATAAATAACATCATTAACAAGGCTTATCGATAATGTTAAAAGTTATAGTTCATTCGCTTAAGTAAGACTTTATTTAGGGTCAAACATCTATGGTGTACCCATTAAAAATTTTAATTTTAACTTTGACATTACATTACTACCAATTTTCCATGTTTAATTCAATTTTATCAAACTAGATTTATAAATTTAATGAATATATCGATTACTTTAAAAATATATATGCATGTTAAATTTATACATTACAATTTGAATAATTCAAACTGATTTAATTTTAAGGAGTAAGAGATAGAGATAGAACTAAACACTTTTATGAAAATTATTTTGTATTGAAAAAAAATATAAAATGTTTATAAAAAATAAATTTTTTTGTTGCTTTATATTTTTAATGGTACGAATGTGGTATTGTTAAATAATCACTTTTTATATCGACTATTTGCAGGCTAATTGGCGTAAGTGACATTTTTGAACAAAATTGTTTAGATTCGGTTGATTTGAAGTACTCATAAGTTACTTTCATGATTTTAGGGGACAAAAATTGTTAATTAAAATTTCGCTTACGTCAATTTACATGCAATGGTCCATATACTATCCATTAAAATTAAAATAGAACAGGATATCGCTGTCCTATTTATTTTAGAGTAATATTCGTTTACTTGCAAAAAGACGTTGGTGATGTTTTCTCCTTTGCTGTTTAAAAATAAAAATGTGCTTATAACCTCACTTTATGTGGGGTTACCGGAAGACGTTGAATTTTCATTTCGAAGTTTATTAATTACTAAAAAATAAATTAAATACAATTTATAACTTATCAGTTGAAATTTATAATATATCTAGATAGTTATATTTTTAAAACTGAATTTTTGAATTAAGTCTAATTTTTAAATGATTCAGTATACATATTATGTAATACCTCAAATGACTTAAAAATATATTATAATTAATTAAATATAAAAAATATTCCATGTATACATAATTAAGTTGTTGGCTAACTATTTATTCGTTGTATGTTTTTATTAACTATTGTTAATTTAAATATTGACGTTTAAAATTATCCGTAACTATGACATTATATTGAAATAAACGTTTGGAAATTTATTAGCCATGGCTATGATTATGATTTACCAGGCATAAATGAGTTGAGTGAATCCATAATTTTGCTATTAAACTTAAGGGCACCATTAACACTAATAGAATTTTTGTAGAAAAATAAATAAGCGTGTAATTAAAAAATTGAAAGAAAATGTGTAGTAATGAGTAATTATAGAAAATATCATTTATCAGAGATATCAATTTCTATTTTCCCACCTCACTTTACATATCTATTTCTATTGTATATTATGCCTACAAAATACTTTATTAGTAGTAATAGTATTTACTAATATACATTTTTCATATATAAATTAATATATCGTAGTAGTAGACGGAGCATAAGTTTAAATAAAAAAAAATAGTTAGAATAAGTTTGAATAAAGCTTAGACTCCAACTTCCTCTCATTTTTTAACTATTATGCATAAATATTAAATTAAATTAATTTAATTTTTATTTACTTTTTTAAAACCTTTATGATAAAAATCATTTTAAATGTGCCCTTAAACCACGCAGAATTTTGATTCGTATTACTATATCAAGTGTTATTATGGACTATTAGATATGCATAAATGACTTTCTTTTTATTAAGTCTATTTAAAATATTTAATTTATTTTAAAATAGTATCTCCTCTGAATTTATCTGTTATATATAAATAACCAAAACTTTAAATTCAATCTTCTAAATTTGCAAGATTAATAATTTTTTCATATTAATTATGCTCAATAATTCTTAAATTGCATTATCATTTATAAAATTTCCTAAATATAAAATTTATAAAATAAAAATTGTACAAAGATGTCAAAAAGAAGGGTATGTTGATGGAGCCGGTTATTCCTTAATCACCTACAATTTACTACTGTTTAGTTTTAATTATTATTATTTATATTTATATACAAGGATATTATTTCAATTTGTATTGCATAATTATTAGATTAAAAATACTAAAATAAATATTAAAATTGTTGTTTACAACTATATTTAAAATTTTTCTTTAGTTCTTTTAAAAAAAACTCCTGAATTTCTACTTTTCAAGACTATTTTTAAGCTTTTTATNTATATATATATATATATATAATAAAATATCCAAAAAAAAAAACAAATAAATACAACAAGAAGTTAAATTATTATTGTTTTAATAGAATTAATCATTGAATTATTTAATTAATTATTTTTTTATTTCAGAGATCAAGTCGATCTTCTCCAATGTCTGTGATATCAACCAAATCCAATGTAGTATTAGCACCCAGCCATGTAACTTCAAATATTTCCTCTGGAACAGCAACTAATACAACTCCTTCTTTACTGAGCAGTCATTCTCTGTTGGCCAGAGGACATTCTCCACGTCGTCTCAGTCCTAGTAGAGAACGAGATAGTTACAAGTAAGTAACTAAGGAACGTTGTATTTATATTTGATTCTCATGAATAATTTTAAGATATTCTTTAGAATGCTATTTAGATAGTTTAAGTACAGCTTATTCATAGAAATTAATTATAAATCTTCTTTTTCATTACCTGTATCCTAACTAATTGGGGTCGGCTACCCTTATCCTAATCTTCCACTTGATACGATCTCCCACATCATCTACAAACACATCAACCGACTTCATATCGCAATCAATAACATCCCTTCATCTCTTTTTTTATCTTTATTTCTTCTTTCTTCAACATTCATTTCCATAACTGTTCTCACAGCTTCCGTTTCCTCTCTCTTTAAAGAAATTAACTATAAATATGGCCCTCAATATTAAGATATCAAAGCAAAACTTAAATAAGTTATATTAATGTACTATATAATTTAATTACTTTTATTTATCCGAATTGTAATATTTTATATAGAGCTCCAGGAAGTACTGCTTCATTGGCATCACCTTCACCATTTAATGCTGCGTCAATAGCATTACCACCAGTTGCTGCTCCTTCTTTGACACCCAATGTCCCAGCTTCGGCACCTTCTAGTCTTGTATACAATAAAACGCCCCTTTGGGGCCCCATGGGGTTAGTATTATATTTCTAAATAGTGTAAGATTTTCTAAAAATTTAAACAATATATTTTATTCAGAAATAATAGTATTACGACATCTACCATGGTTACTACTACTAGACATCCATCGTCATATCCGCCACCATTATTTTCATCACCAGCTGCCACAGCTACATCTCAATCTAGTGCATTGCCACCAGCAGCTCCTCCTGCTCACAATCCATTTTCTGCAGAATCTTTATTTCAATCAAGTAAATAATAGTTATTTAATTAAATCATATCTCAAATGATGTTATATTTAATAAAATTTTATAATGTTTAAATAAAAAGTTGTCTAAAATATGAAAATTTAAAATTTTTTTTACATTAAATTATATTATTAAAATTATACTTTTCTAAAACTTAACTTATTATTAACTAATAAGAAATGTTCATAATTAAATATAAAATTCAGCTTATATATATTCATCTTTTTTTAGATCAAGCAGATATGTTAAGAAGAGAATTAGACTCTAGATTTTTAGCATCATCGCAAGAAAGAGCTTTGGCTGTTGGTGCTCCATACTTGCGTACAGAGATGCATCATCATCAACATCAACATACCCATGTACATCAACATACAGCGACACCACTTATACCTTCAGTAGCTGCAGCTACTCCAACTATGCCGAATGCTTCAGCTATACAACCAGCACCTAACTCAGCATTGTACCCTCCTCCATTAGTTAGTACACTTACCTCTGTTTCTTGTACTTGATATTTATTTCAATTTTTTTTTTTTTTTTGACAGTTTAAAGAAATACCAAAATTAGGTGGAGTTGACTCTCCATTTTACAGGCAAAGTCTGTTGCCTAGTAATTATCCAGGATTCACTCCTAGTTTATTACATTCGTCAATAGGGCACACTCCATTTACACCACCAGCCCATGTTCCAACATTCACTCCTAAGGTAATTATTTATTTTTTTATAATATAATGTTAAAATCATTATTAATTCATTATTTATTGTGTACTTACAGTTGACTGATACATCAAAGCCAACTAAATCAAGTGTGAGTTGAATTTTATCAACATAGCAGTTTAATTTATTGTTTTATAATCATTTTCTTTGTTGTGCAGAAACCTGGTAAATGGAATGCAATGCATGTTCGTTTAGCATGGGAAATTTATCATTATCAACAAAAGCAACAAGCAGCTGAATCAAAAAATTCTGTTAATAATCTTGTGCCAAAGACTGAATTACCTAGGCCACCTACTCATTTATTTCCCCCTAATCGACCGCCTCATGATCTCTCACCCTTCTCTACACCTCATCATCATCATGCTGGGTTACCCCCTGGATATCCACCTATGGGTAACTAATTTATTATTATTAAAATATACTTTCAGTCTTTCATTATGTCTAACTTTACTTTAATGCTGTTATATATATAGCTGCTGCAGCGATGTTTGCTAGATATCCTACAGGATTTCCACCTATATCACCTTTCCCTCCAAATCCCATAAATGATCCATGGGCACGATTACAACCTTCACGAGGAATTCCTACACCCAACTCTCCTTATGGATCAGTAGCAAGTTGGCAAATTAAACCAGATCCTGTAGAAACTGAACGTGCAGAACAGCAACAGCGAGAGAGAGAAAGGGAACGGGAAAAAGAAAGAGAAAGGGAACGGGAACGGGAAAAAGAAAGAGAAAGAGGGCGTGAAAGAGAACGTGTTAAACGTGAAGAAAAACGAAGGCAAATAGCCCAACAACAATTGCAACAACAACAACAGCATCAACAACATTTACAGCAGCAACATCAGCATCAGCAAGCTGTTAAGATGAGAGAACGTTCTCCTCTTAAAGAACCAAGTATGATTCATAAGGAAGAAGACATAAATATGATGTTGGGCCGTGTTCCACCACCATCTCATTACTTACCACCTCCACCTAGACATCCACAAAGAGGTTTGCCAACACACTTTTCACCATGGGATCAGTATAGGTGTGTATAGTTAATTTTTTTCTATTATTTTATCTGAAGAGACCTTGTTTTAGTATTAATTTAATATTAACTAAATATTATCTTTGAAGTTTAATTTTCAAATAGTTTGCCAACCACTTAATTTTCATTTATAAACTTTTTAAATAGTGATTTAATTAAGTTGTAACAAAAGTTTTATCCATATTTTTTAGATATGATTCACTAAGATTTAGTCCATTAATTGCTGCTGCTGCATACAGAGCAGAAGAAGAAGAACATAGAGCAAAACTATTTGGTTACCACCCTCAAGCTCACTTAAGACCAAAAGATCCATCTCCTAATACTCATCGATCTGTACCGCCTGATATGCAATTACCCAAAAAAGAAGAATCATCTCAATCTAGGTAGTCAATGGATGTTAAAGTTATTATTTTTAATGTTTAAATTTATGATTGTCAAAATTGTAATTTGACAAAAGTTGTTTTATTATTATGTTATATTCTCTTTCAACTTTTCTCCTGCTATAAAATGTGTTAATTAAACAAAATTGTGGATGTATTTTGATTAAATAATTGGAACTTTATAATTTTTTTATTATGTACAATTTTTGAAGCTAAAATTTATTGAGATGTTATTTAGGTCTCAAATGGATAATTTTTTTTATTATTATTGAAGTAATTTTTTATAAATACAAATTAATAAAATTATTTAAAAACTTTTGAAACATCTAAATGAATTAATGAGATATATTGAATTAAGTGCAATCAAAGTGTCTCTTACTATTAAATCTATATATATATAATATATAAACTGAAAAATAAATTAAATTTGTATAGGATACACAGGGTCAATTTACATTGCTGTACTGATATTTTGGCCCTTTTAAGACAATTACGTTGGAAATCAATTTCCTCTACCAAATTAATTTTAATAAAACTGATAATTTACCCAAAATGTTTAGCTTTTAATATTAATATATTACTTTTTTTTTTTTTAATTATTTATTTTGTTCCTATTATTGTTTAATATGGTGTTTTTTATATAATAGATGAAATCAGCTTAGGGATTATTTATAAAATAGAAATTATAATTTAAAAGAAAATTATATAAACCCCGACATTTAAGTTACCAATAAAGTATAATTATAATTATAAATTTGCAATTCACATGTTTATTTTTGCAAAATATGTGTTTGTTGAAAACATTATTAAACTCCATTAACTTGTAAATAGTATGAATATTGGTGAACGAAAAGCCTGCGTCTTTCTTTCTTAATTATTATATTTTTTTCATTTAGTTAAAATTTGTTTTAAACAATGTCATTTTTGCACTAATTATTGAATTTTTTTAATTTATTGTATAAATTATTGAAACTATAAAGTATTTTGGTATAAATAATGTGTCTTGTCATGATATTTTTAGGTTTTTCTGAAATGATTACAATAAAAAGTAACACTATAATTTTTGTATTGCCATAAGTCAATTGTAAAATTTATCAAATTTTATCAGTGAATAATTTGAGTATTAAATGAATAAAAAAATTTTTTCTTAAATTTATATTTATTTTGAATTAGTAAAATACTTTGAAAGTTTGTACTTCATATTGCTATAAACAAAAGAAAATTGTTGATTGTTTTAATTTTAAATTAAAATAATACCAAATATTTATCAATCAATTATGAATACTTATTGTGGTAGACGTGTAACTTAAATTGTGTGTATATAATGTAAATTATTAAATATTTATTTTTGATAAATTTTATTGTGATTATTGTTTGAACATGATGAAATGTGTATATTAGTGTAAAGTGATGATACAATAATAAAATTTTATGTTCCATTTCAAGTCAGCTGTATTTTCATGTTTCCTCTATACTGAAATATATTTTTAAGTGATCTTTTCCCTTTAATCTTGAGTCAATACTCAATGATATTATTAGCTAAATACTCCATAAGTTTGCTAGAAAACTAATGATAATTTTACTTTATTTTGGTTTAAAAATATAATTTATCATGGTATCTGTGATATTTGTGAGGTATTCCTTTTTTATAAATAATAAATTGATGTTATTAATTTTTATTTTTGAGAGTTTAAAATTTTAGTTCTAGCTACTATTTACTAAATGGTGAGCAATGCATTTTTTAAAATATTGGACCCATTAAATATCTTTTTTTAATATTAATAATCAAAAAAAGGTCAACTACCAATAAAATGTTATTTTTACCAAATTGTTGAGATACTACTCCCTTTTGAGTAGACTCAGTATTATTGTTTTAAATATACTTTCATTATTTTTGTAATTACTATTCAAATATCTTAATGTAACAATATTTTAAAAATATATATAATTAATTACAATCGCAGATATACGGAGAGAAGATATCCAGAATTAACCTATATTTTTACATTATATCATACACGGGACATATATTGATATGTACCCAAGTTAATTTTATTTTTTGGACTCCCCCCAGAAAATATTGAAAATCCAATATAGATTAATTAAATTTAAAAATATTATTTAAGTATTTATAAAAAAAATGTATTCTTTAAAATTATTTTTTCATTATTTTTCATGAAATTATAACTATAATTTGTGACACTTAATTACTAGCGAGTAATTTTGTAGGTGACCTTTTTTAATGATATTTATTTTCGAAGGTCAATTCATTTATGTTTGAGCTCTAATTATTACTACTAATGATAAACTATTTTTTGTTTACTTCATTTGACTAATGATTAATATTAGATTTATCTTTTAGATTGTTTCTGTTAATGACTTTATTCATTTTTATAACTATGTTTTTTAAGGATATTGTTCATTTTTCTTATAACAAGAAATATAGGCGCAATTTTAACAGTTTTTAGAATCTGATTGGGTTTAAAGTTTTAGCTCTTCTAGCCATCTAAATGCACCACTCAAAATGTGTAGAAATAAGTAATTTTTCAAATTTGTTTCTTTTTTTTATTATTCAAGAACGTCACATAGAAGTCATTTGTTTTATCAAATTGAACGTGAACGTAAAAAAAATTCACGTTTTTGATAAATATGATTGTTTTTTTGTTAATTTGCATAATTTACAATAATATTATGTTTTTATGAACTCATGACGAATTGACATATTGTAATTGTATGTAAAAATATATGTAATAAAATATTCACGTTTATGTACATGATGATGTACTGTATGGGTTATAGAATCTGTATCTTGTACTGTCAAATGTTGATTTAATCACTGGTACTTAAAATTATTTATACAGATAGAACAACACGCAAAGCATTAGTGCATTATTTACTTGCTGCAATTTGTTAAAAGTTACTTTGTTTCTCATTAGTGATTGCAGTTGTAGTGTTATCGTTTTGTATATTTATAATTATTTTATTTATAATTTATAATGGATTTAAAGAAAACGTTCACATTATAATATTAATTATGATAAAAGAAGAAATGAATGTGACAAAATTTAGAAAATATGAAGTGTACACTAAATCATGTATCTAGTACTTAATTGAAATATTTTATTTCAAGATATGTAGGAGCGCAATTAAGATGGAGTACTTAACTTCATATAAATCAACTCAAAACTAAAATATTTACGTAATGAAGTTACAATTATTTTTTTGGTTTTAGAGCAGTGAAAACTTTCTTATTTCTTATTTATTTTCTTATTTATCTCTAAACCTTAATTACGCCAATGAAAGGAAAGATTTTTATCTATTATGTTGGAATATAAATTTGTCTAAATTGAATCGTTTATATAAATGATAATTATGTATATTGCAGATTAACTGGGAGCATCATTAGGGGGGTGGGTAACTTGGAAATTTGCCTCAGTCCAAATTTTTAGTACATATTGGGTCTGCTAAGTGTTCTAAAACGCAATTTTAGCAGAATAAAATTAGTCAACATTTTTACTTTTTAATAGAACAAAGGTTATTAAAATTGTTTTTGAGATTTCTAAATTCAAATATTTTCAATGTCTCCCTTTTAGAAGGGTCTTTAATTAGTTTTAATTCATTTTAACATATTTTATTAATTGTTTTTTTCATTATAAAAACTCCATCCTTTAAAATAGAATAAACGTTAAAAAATTATATTTTATACATGTTAAACAGTATAAAAAAGAAGTCACATGGCCATTTTTGAAAAAAAAAAATTTTTAATTTAATTAGTTTTGTGGTTGTATTATGGGGATAAATCGCGAGCAAATAATGATTTATAAAATTTTGGCCCGGTCAAAAATTTGCCCCCGTCTATTATAATCTGAAATGACGCCACTGGGGGTAAATTATTCATAAAGTACACCAAAATCAACTCATTCATTTGTTTAATAAACGTTCTGAACACTGCAGTAATAGAAAATATTGAACGACAACAATTTTTTAATCCTTCGTGTTTATACATCAAGTGTGTTTATTATGATTGTACTCGACGTTATTGTTTTTATGTTTATTGATAGCATGATATAAGCTATTTTTAAACAGGTGAGTAAAGAAAAATCCTTACAAAAATAATATTTCTAAGATATATTTATTTAGTGATTCTTGTATGAATAAGGCAATAAACGTGTAACATCATACTTATTGCATAACTGTAAAACTGTAAATTCTTGGTAGGTACATTGTTTAATTTTAATTTTTGTCGTTGATAACAGTTATGAATAACGAGTTCCGTCATTATTGATCGTTTGCTGTTTCAGTTGGTTATTAGTTGACCGTGTTGACGTTAACAATTTTTTAATATTTTTAACCTTGTAAAAGTATTCAGAAACTTCTACGCTTTTCTAATTTGTCGTTTTTTACGTTAAGAACTATGTCAATTTTTCAATTTTTTGGCAAGTACATTTTGTACTTGTTTAATCTTTTATGCTTGGTAAGTACTTTAGTAAAAATTTATGTGTTCTAATTATTATTGAGATATAAATTTTGTAATTCCTAGATTTCGGGTATTATTATCATAACAATTGCAGTTCTCATCAATCAAAAATTTTATAATTGGTCAAGTTTCATTAGCAAAGATTTGATTACAGCCCCTCAAATAATGTTAGTTATTGGATTGATTGTATTTGCTATTGCTATACTGGGTCTGTGTGGTATAATAAGGGATAGTGGATGCCTTTTGATTCTTGTAAGTGTTTCTTATAGTAATACTTATTTATTAGATAATGATGTTTTTACTTTATTATTATTCTGTATAGTTTTCTGTGCTGCTTACATTAGTTTTAATGGGTGAATTGATTTTTTCGGGAGCTGTATTGATGATGCGCGGTGAAATCAAGGAGTTTGCAATGAAAGAAATGAACCAAACCATTTCTAAATATAATCAAACTGGTTATGAAACGTCAACTGAAGCTTGGAATATCTTACAATCTGATGTAAGTTTTATAAACATTAAATATACTCAGAAAATGTATAATATAATTTTTACTACAAAGGTGGAATGTTGTGGAATTAATGGACCAAATGATTGGAAGATAGTAACTCATACTGATGTATTACCAGTATCATGTTGCAAAGCAATTCCAGTAGATTGGCATTGTACAAAAACTGATGCATATTTAACTGGATGCTTTACATTGTTAGAAGATAAGCTTCAAGAAAATAGTCAACTATTATTTTGGACTGGGATAGCTTTTGCTGCAGTTCAGGTATTTCAATTTTATGAAATTAAATAATTTAATTGAAAAGTATCCATTCTAAAAGTAAATTGTATGTTTTGCTTATAGCTTTTGGCTGTTACATTAGCGTGTTGTCGCCGTTGTTCTTTATACAAAGAATATGAAACCGTTTAAGGAATAAATCAATTATAAGTGTTTATTAATGCTACATTTTAAAAGATAATTAGGAGTAGCTTTTATCTCATCCAATTATTTTTTTTATATTAATAAACTAAATAATAAAAAACCAGTTGTTTACTAGCTTGTTATCATAAATTATCTAATTATGTGTGTACTCTTTGGTCTCATGTTAGAAAGCTTTAACTTTAATTAAAAAAATTACTAATTAATTTTGTAACTGTGCAAACGCACCATTTGTAATATAAGATTACACAACTTTATTATTATTTAATGTAATTTTTTTTATAGTTTTTCACTTTTGTTATCAATATATTGAAGAAGATAATTTATGTAATTATTATAATTTATAAATTAATAGCTGTAATTTGTGTTTATTCTAAGTTTGACAAATCATTATAATTATTTCTATAAAATGTTTTTGGTTAGTAATAAATAAAAACATTTTTTTACTATTTCATTAAAATTAATGTTTGAGATACTATACTTAAATTTAAAATCTATTAAGTTATTAATCACACTAATATAACTTATTATTTTATAATTTTTAATTATTAAAAAAAAGGTCATAAATTTTAGCAAACAATGTGTTCATATTAATTCCAATTCATATGGTATGGTACAAGAAGTATTTGAGATTAGACAAATAATTTTCATAACTGGGTATATACTAACATAGGCTAAGTGTAATAGTTATTATTATAATGGCTAAGAATGAAAATGGATTTCTTTTAAAATTATTTTAAAGTATAATAATTGATATTTATACAGTTGTCTCACATCTAACTAAGAACACATTAATTTTTATCCAATTATTATTTCTTTGAATTTATTTTTTTATTATTTATCACTAAGATTTTTTTTTTTATTTTTTCAAATATATATCAAGTGGGAATGAGCAGATTATATTATACACCAGTACTTAAAATTTGAATATGGCAAACCGTGTAGCAAAAAAAAAAAAAATGCTTTTTAAAAGCTATTGAATATTTTTTAAATTATTTTTTCTTGTTTCATTAGTATATATCTAAGATATCTAAGATATTTAAATATTCAGTTAATTTCATAAAAATATATAAATATTAAAAAATTGGTTATTTTTTTCCTTGCATGCATATTCATCATTTTGTCATTTATTTTTTCCTGGTTATTTTTTCTTAGATTCCCATAATCCGATCCACNTTGTCATTTATTTTTTCCTGGTTATTTTTTCTTAGATTCCCATAATTCGATCCATACTACGGGTTTAATATTAAAAGTACTTTATAAGCTAGTGTAAGAATATAATACACATGCATTGTTATTATTTTTATGATTATTCAAAATGTGAAGATATGGTTCGAAAACTCTCCTGGCAGAAATAATTATTCATTATAAATACTATTTTGAGTGGGCAATAAAAACATTTTCTTGATGTAAACAATAATATTACAATTTTTTATTAGCATATTATAAATAATTCGATCCTTTATAATCGATTCAAATAAGACGTTATTTAATAAAATTAAGTTAAGATACAAACTTTTTATGAAAAATAAAAACTTTTTTAACACATATTACAATAGAAATAATAAAAAAAATGTTAATTAACAAATTTACTTGTTGTTTTGGGGAAAATATTGTTTCTTAAATACTAACAATCGTACGCTTAATAATATTACAATATTTTCAATTTATAAAAAATTATTTATATTTGGAATGTTGTGTTCTTTTAAATTCTTTTTTTAAAAAAAATAATAAAATAACAGCTAGTATCATTATTACTATATGGATTTAAATTATTAGATAAAAAATGTGTTTTTGCATATGGTTGGAAGGCATAATTTATCAGAATTAGATTACTGGATTCTACAGTTGAGGCTTTAAACAGGACTTTATTTCGGGTGTCTAAACGAAAAGTTTTCTTCTTCATATAATATTATCAAGTTAAGTCTCATAACTATAATATAATTTAAAAAAATACTGAAGAGTTTTCAAACATCATTTGATTACGTGCCTACATATTGTAAATAGTTTAACCAGAATTGATGTAAAATAGACTATTATGTAAATTGAAATAAAATTATAATAAATGTAAATTATTTTCTAAAAATAGCTCTCCAGAAAGTTGAAACTGTAAATTTCTGTGGTGCTTATGTAGTTCTAAGATCTTAATTACAAACATCTAAAAAATAATTTTTTATTGAATTTATGTTCATCGAAATTATAAGTTTCTAACAGCTAAAAACGTAAAGTATATTATAGTTTTAATAGCCATTATAAATTATATAAAATAATAATTCTTATGTAAAAAAATTAATTTTTTATTCCATAACGTTCTGTTGTTTACATTTTTTACCCGAGCACAACAGATCTCACGTTATTATTACTCGATTTGTCTATTTCAATTTTGTGCAAAAAAATTATGATTGTAGCTGTCATATTTTTTCATTCGACAAAAAAATTTTTTTTTATTTTTTTGGTTACATTTTAAATTTTGGTGCACAGTTGTCACATTTAAAGGCTTCTATATTACTGAAATTCACGTAGTTTATCAATGTTTCGAGTAATTAATGGTATAGAAGTCAAAGTGTAATTATTACATGTTTAATAAGTAAATCTTAATATAAGATTTAATAGTCATTATAAAGCAAAATTTAAATACTCATAAAACATATTTTTTGAATTTCTTCAATGACTATCTAGCAGTTATCAGTATTTGATAAGGAGGGTAGTAGCAAAACATTATATATACTACTATTAGTAATTTTATGCCGGCACACTGCTTTTTGGGAACCACTATCGTTTTCGAAAATTCGACGCATGATTGTATTTTTGTGAGTGATTTCCTTTGTTCATCTGTATCGCCGCTGCTGTGTGTTTAATTTGCCAAAACTGAATTAAAATTTGTGCAAGACTTAAGAGTTTGTTTGGTCGTATTAAATCGTCAATTAGCATTCATCTAGATTGCAAAACGACAAAGACACATTAAATCTGATTGACCTGCGACCGATAGTCGCAACAGATCAAATGACTACTTATCGCTGATAGTAAAGTCAAGTACTGATCAAATGTCTTAAAGGGTAGAACGTTAGGTTTTTACTCTCTTGCAAATCTCCAATTATTAGAGGTATTTATCATACTAATCATATTTTAATTAATTCATTTTATTATTGACCATTGTGTATATGTGATATTTTTTTTTAACACCTCGCATAATATTTTCTACTTGGTAAATTGTAGCATATCCCTGTGATAAATAGTTTTATCATGTCTACAACTCCTACACCGAGGAGTCCTAGTAGTTCAGGACGTAGAGGAGTAACATCAGCTTTACCTGTGGTCTCTGCTGTACAAGGGACTCCTCCTTCATCACCTTCTCTTAGTGAATCCACTAAAGAGGTTAAACCCAATCCAAAAATGTCAAAAGCACTCAGTACATCGACTAAAAGGTGAGTTAAAGATGACATGTTATTTTAATGTAGATTGCTAATGATTTGATAAATGTTAAAGATTTTTAATGCCATTAAATTATTTATAAGTTAAAAAATATATTCAATTTATTAATCAACAAAAAGTGGTTCTTTGTTTAGTGCTGATGATGATAACTTGATTGTAAAAATAAATATCCCCAGTTTTTTACTTAAAATATTTATGTGGCTTTTAGAGTGACCTTTAATATAAATTTACCTTTTAGATAAATATATATTTTCATATTGATTTGTGTAATGTGAATCACAAAAGTATATTGAATGCAATACTTATTCATTCTAATTATTATTAATTTTTTTTTTTTACACTGAAAATTACTTTTTTGTGCTTAACGATTATATTATATGTATTTCTTAAGATATCTTTAAGAAACATAATATTTTCCTTTTAAATTATAATAATTTTAAGATAGAAATTTGAAGTATTGTATATTGCAAATATGATATTTTATTTACTAGTTTAAAATCTGTTTCCTATGAAATACAAATACTTGAACATTCAGGGTTGATAAACATTTTTGGTCACGATACCATATTTAATATTTTCTGCAGTAAACATGCTGTTAACATATCTTTTTTATTCTAAGGAAATTTCATTTAAATTCAAAACATTTTATCATTCAAATGCTAGTATTTTATATAATACTAATCATAGATGAATTTAAAATGAGTTAACTTATTCATTTTATAAAGTAAAGTCAGTTTATACTGAGTTGTCTATTAAAAAAGTAAAGAAAAATTATATTATAAAAAAAAGTTGAATAATTTAGTTCAATGAGGCTAAAAGGTAGGTTCTGTAGAACTGTGGTGAGACCAACTATGATTCATAGTGTTGCGTGGTTGACAAAAAAATAGAGCAGAGATGAGAGTCGGTAGATAAATAAGTGGAATAATAAGAGAAGATAAAAAAAGCTTTTATTAAATTTCTAGATTCATGTTTTCTTAGGCTGTATGCTAAATTTTTAATATAAAATAGTTTTAGTCGCCTATAGTTTTAAATTACATTATTTGTACTTTTGCTTACAGAGTTAAGCTCTGTGTTGAAAATATTAAACTTTTTTTTTCTTTCCTGTTTCTTCCTTCAGAATCATTCAACTGATACAATATAAGATTTGTATTGGAATAAAATTAAAAAATAAATCTAAAATTTTTTTTTTCAATTGAAATTAATTAAATTTTTTATTGCTATCAATTTTCTTATTCTATTGCAATGAAAGTTATGTTGGACTTATGATTACTGAAATAACTGAAATAAGTTTTGGATTGGACGTTATGTATATATTTATATATTTACGTTATGACATATTTATATCCAGGTATGAGGAAAAATATGTCCAGAAAATGCCTAATTACAAAAATTGAATCACCCACTCTCAGTCATCACTTTAAATTGTCAATAACTTCCAAAATACCAGTCCAAAAGTTGTTATCGGCCAGTCATTTTCTTAATTAGATCATTATTTAATAAATAGGCTATTTAATTATGAGTTGTCATTTGATACTTATTATATGTAAGGGATAAACATAAAGAAATCTTAATGATTGAAAAATTGAGAGAAACATTGAATTAAAAGAAACAAAAAAATTATTAATTAATTTTAATTTTCGATTAATTAAGTGGTTCACAAGTGAATCACTCTGTATATTATTTATTATTGACAATTTACTTATTTTCTTATTAATAAACATAACAAACTAATAAGAATAAATAATTTATATAATTAATATTTTAAGTATTATATTTTATATTATCTTCATTATATTTATTTATTTTTATATTTATAATAATTAAAATATAAATAAACACTATAATAAATGTATTTATTATTTATATTAATATGTATATTTATTTATTTTAATTTATATAATTATAAAAATAAATAGATTAAATTATATTATAATATAAAATACAAGTAAAACTTTATTTTCAAAGATTAAAGTATTGTAGTTGAATGCATTTATTAAAGTAATTTTAAATGTATGCAATTGTGCAATTTTTTTAAATCAAATCACTCATTAAATTAACAAATGATAAATTTAAATGTATTAATAATAAATTATTGCTATTAAAAAGTAAAATATTAATTAAGAATAAATATTTAAATATTAAAAATTAAGTTTTATGAATTTAAAATTCAAAATATTTGTGAAACATAATGTTTGTTGAATGCACACATTTATCAAATGTACACGTTTATTGAACTTATACGTTCATTAAACAATATCATTTTGACCATGTACCTAATAAATTATTAGAATCCGTTGGTGATAGTCAAATGTTACAGCCAATCATGATGTGCAATTAATTATCTTTTCTTTATTCATCGAACCTTTTGTAGAAAAGTTTTACTTTAATTATAACAATTATTATTTTGTAGATACTACATTAAGTTTCCATATTTTATTTACATTTTAAAATTTTTACTTATTTTTAATTTATTATTATTAAAATAACCAAATTATGATTAAACAATTTATTACAAAATATCTTTAAAATATAAAAAAAAAATCCTTATTTAGTGTTATACTACCTTTGCACTCTTATTATAGTAATATAAGGTAACTTATACATAGTCTCTCTTCTAGGGAACTCCATTTGGATTATATTAAAATAAGGGGGTGACTAAAAGAATTTTTTACCAAAGCTGTAGTTATAGCGTGGCTAATGGTTTGGATCTATTAGTTCCCTGGGATATGTTATTGCAAGATTGTTATATATAATTAGTGTCAAACTACATTTTTACAATTTTTATTTGAATAATTATAATTTAATTTTAGAATACAAAAGGAATTGGCTGAAATTACATTAGACCCTCCACCAAATTGCAGGTAATACTTTTATATAAAGTAGTATATTAATTATACTTAAAATTTAATTGTGTCATTTCATATAATTCTGATTTTACAGTGCTGGACCTAAGGCAGACAATTTGTATGAATGGGTTAGTACCATATTAGGACCACCAGGATCTGTGTATGAAGGTGGAGTTTTCTTTTTAGATATTCATTTCACTCCAGAATATCCTTTTAAACCGCCTAAAGTAAATTAATTTATTGTTATAATACGATTTACTTTTGTCCATTTGTAATATTGTATTTTTGTTTAAAAATTCAGGTAACTTTCAGAACTCGTATATATCATTGCAATATTAATTCTCAGGGTGTCATTTGTTTGGATATATTAAAAGATAATTGGTCACCTGCTCTTACTATATCTAAGGTGCTGTTATCTATCTGTTCTTTATTGACTGATTGTAATCCAGGTATTTTATTTATTAATTCTTCTAAATGTGTATAGCAATCATTTATTTTCAATATTTTTAGCTGATCCACTTGTTGGCAGCATTGCTACACAATATTTACAAAATCGTGATGAACATGACAGAATTGCTAGATTATGGACTAAAAGATATGCTACATAATCAACTGTAACTTTAGAGAGTGCAGATTTTTTTTAAGTAGTAATAATATAAAATCCTACATTTATTCATATAAATTTGGGTGTTAAATAATAAAAAAAAAATTTAATACCTTATAGTTGGTACTTCATAAAATTTAAATGAATCAGTTCCTAAGTTTTTCATAAATAAATGTATATTTTTCATAGAACCGTGATAACTCTTTTTTAAATTCAACAGTAAATTACTATCTTTATGATATAATTTTTTATATGACTGCGTAGTATCTTAAAATTGTATTTTGATGTAAATAATACTTTTAAAGTTAATTTGGGTTATTAATTATTATTAAATAATTTAAGACATATTTTTTAGAATATCATTTTAAACTGGTTTTACAATAAACATATTTAAGTCATTATTCATGGACTTTTGAAATTTATTAATTAAATATCTAGTAATAATTTATGCTGTAACAAAGGTTATATTGACATGTATTTTGAATTTAATTATATAAAAGCTGGTAAATATTATTCAATCAAGTGTTATAATAAATTAATCATATATAACTTCGTACATTTAATAAATGTAAAAATAATTTTATTTTAATTTGATAGTAAAATTTAAAATGACTAAATGTATAATTAAAAAAATTATTTTATTATAACTATTAACAGTTTTAATTTTTTTTAATTTTATCAAAAAATAATTTTAATGATTACTTTATTAATTAAGTAATGTATACTATAATATTGAAATTTGACTGAATAATCATAATTGTAATAAATCTCGTGAAAAAACATATGGCAAATGAAAACTTTTAAATTTAAGTATAGAAAATATAGTTCAAATATTATTAATTTTTCTGTTTACTTATAAGTTATTCATTTTATTTGAAAGTTGTGAAAAATAGATCCTTGATGGAATATATATTTTTTACTAATTTACCAAACCAAAATTTATGTTTTTTATTTGTATTCTTTATTATGCATAAATTATTTTTCCATAATTCTTTTGCTACTTTAATTTTATTCTAAATAGATAATAAATTAAATAAATATTTTTTTTTTTTACATTATAACAAATATTTTGTATTAAATATGACTGAAATATTAATTTTTTTAAGCATTGAAAAATTAGTTATTGAAATCTTCAAATCAATGCTGCTGAGCAGTCTTCCAAGGATTAACTATTAAAGATTATTATTGATATAGAAAATTGACAAAAAAAATTTAAGAAATATGTTTTTCCTAATAGTATTGATTTTGATATGCTTCAAATTGATTTTAAATTAATTTTTTTTTAGTCTTCTTTTAAAAGTTGGGACTTTAAAATGTATTCAGTTAAATATGTTGGTTATTTCATCATGTTAGTTTAAATGAAAATTATCTGAGTTCACCATTGAAATGGTTTTGCATGCAATTAATTGTAAATTTTAGCATATTAACATGTTAATAAGTTATAAATAAATATTCATTATATATAAAAGAAATGTGTATATGTAATATTTAATTAAATGAAAAATATTATATAGGTTAATTTATGGTAACAATAAACTCATTGTTTTAATATGTCCATTTATTTGATATTTTTTTTAAGAATAATTAATCTTGCATTCAAATAAAATATTGTGAAAAGACAACTAAATGATATGGGAATGAAGAAAATGGTACTCACATCTACATCTCGTATATCTCGTAAACTAGTGGTTAATGGCCATAGATTAAAAGAAACAAAAATCATTATCTGGTACATTTTATTATGTATATGAAATTTAATAACATTATTATTATTAAATGTAAACAGAAAAGTGTAGACAGAAGTGAGTGATATATGGTTTCAAAGTTATATGTGATATATTTAATAAACAATGTAGAATTACATTTTTTGAAATTTGAGAATTTTTGAACTTTAAATGAATAAAATAAAATTCTCTAGTTCATTACAAGTTTTTTACTTTATAATTTTAAAATTATTGAAGCAACTAACATCTTAAAAATAGTGTAATTCCAGTTAATGTCCATTTCTCATGTTCTTTCTGTGAAATAGATACTGGTAGCAAACAAATTATATTATCTTTGGATTGAGTTTCGTATAATATGACATACAAATCTGAATTTTTAGTACTTCTGATTGTATCCTATAATTAAAATAATAAAATTTATTATGTTATTTTTATGCTATTATTCTCTGATTTCCAAATTTACAATGTTTTAGAAACATGGTAAAGCTGTTCTGAATTTTTTGAAAATAAACTTACATGTTAAAATTTACAGTACTTTATTAATTTTTTTTCTATGGATTTTGAATAAAATAAATCATTTATTTGGTCAAATAATATACAATATTTTCCACATTAAGAAAAAATATTTAGATTTGGAATGTGATTGGTGTATAACTGTCAATTAGCTTTTATCCTAGTATTATATTTTTTTTATGAGTAACGCACTTGAATATTTATGAAGATATATCATAAAAAAATGTTTGATGAGAGTCAGATCCGTATTTGGGGGTGGGGCACTCTCTGTCATGTTACCCTTTGCCTCCGGTGGCAAATTTTTACTAAACACCATAATATCCTGATATTGCGTCATCTAGAAATTTCAATTGTTATGTTTTACTCATAACCGAAAAAAAAATGTACCGTGTCGTGATTCTTTTAGTTATAACCTTTTTTTGCTCAATGAAGCACTTAAAGAAAATTAGCCAGGGAGCGCTAAATATCCAAATGCGGTCCTGATGAGAGTACAAAAATTTGTAATAATTGCTCAGTATTTTTTTTTTTATCTTTTAACCCCTATTTTTATTATTTTATTTTTATAAAATTAGAATAATAAGAAAAAAATTGATATACGGGTTTGATTACATTTTTTTTTATTTTCAAATTCTTTTTGTTGTTAAATAAATTTATAAATCTCGTTTGATTATACTTCGTATTTTTGACGCATAATTATACAACTTTTATAAAAATTAATCTTTTTGATAAATATTATACAAGCCACTCGATTTCTCTTAAAATAATAATTATGTTAAGGATATTATTTTTGGTATTTTTTAGTTTCATATATTTTTTGATTTATAAGTTATTAATTACTTTTTTAATTTATTCTTTATATTTTAAAATGTTGTCAGTTTTATTTTTTAAACTATTACAAATATTTAACTAGATTATATAATAAGAAATGATAATTAATAAAATAACAACTTTAAAAATAGGCGCGTGTCGTGTGAGGGAGAATAAAGAATATACCCACATGGATCATCCACCACTCAATATAATGTAGTAGCTGATTTTGGTAGATTTTATTTAATTTTATCAGTATAATTGAGATATATAATGTAAAGTTGGTTTCTTTTTAACTATTTCATTACATTAAGTCAGGCCGATCCCAATTAATGGACAATTATGGGTATACATATTTTATACACCATGTAGAAGAAATAACTAAATACTTAAGTAGACCTAGTAGATTTTTCTTTGAATATTTTTATTTTATTGTATTTTAAACACATTGTTTTAACAAAAAAATGATATTGGTATTATGATATTTTACGTTAACATAGTGTTAACAGTCTTTTAAACATGAATCATTGGTGGTATCTACTAAGACAAGAAACCCAATTGCTTACATTATATAATGATTAAAAAATGGCAATGTGAGTAACACATTTTAATAATATCTCTTTCCATGAAAATTTCTAGTACGCCACTGCTTAAAAATATATCAAAATTAAGGTATGGATTGTTGTTCTTAGAATTTTTTTTGAAAATAACTTATTTTTATTTAATATAAGTAGATGATTTTACATAGACGTTTGATTATTATAATAATACAAATTATTAGGAATGACTTGACAAAAATGACTATCCTGTTATCAGTAAAATAATTCTTGAAGTTAAACGTGCTTGGAGAAAAATATATTTTACGTGTAAGATTGAAATTTCATTTGAAAATATAATTTTATTATAAACAAAAAAATGGAATCAATATTAATAACCTTTGGTATCCAAGCAATATTAATTTCATCAACATTTGATACCGACGGTGAATCAATTGTGTTGTCTAAAAGAGAAGTTTGATGAAGTCTAGCTCCTTCAATCAAGACATTAGTTATCGTTACAGTTTTTTTAGAACTTTTGAGTTTGTTTGTGGATAAAGAGCAATCTAATATTAAACTATCCATTGATGTTCCGTAAAGTCTATAAACAATATACATTTTATTAGCAGACGGGTAATTATTATTATTATGTATTTGTTTCAATAATGTATTTATTTTTTTCAAACTATTTTACTTTGATCATTAATTTTGACATCGAATTTAGTTTAAAAAAATAATAACTAAAACGCATTATTTTTATAGTAAATTAAAAATTTTAATAAAGTTGCAAAAACATTTATTTAAGTTTAAAAACAGCGTATAATACTTTATAAAAAGATACTCATTATTTCCAGTAAAATTGCAGAAGTAATGCAAATTTATAGAATTTACAAATTTTGTTTAAGTAGATATATTAAAGCTTGGTCCGATTTTAAGTCACTATTTACTTACTTAGATGTTAGTTGTTTAAATGCAACTAAAAAGGTTCTAGGATGAAACAAGTTATTTAAGTTAATTTGTTGGGGCGTTTTATCCAGTGAAAATTGTAATTTATGTAATGAGATTGTTCGTGTTATTACATGTCTCATATAAGATCCTGGATCTTCTGGCCCATTCCAATAATTTATCCATGATTTAGGCGTCTTAAAATTAGTAATTTATGATTAAATTGCATGGAGATGTTAACAAGGTGATTGATTAATTATATCTCGTGTAATATGTTTAAACGTATTAAACATGTGGTAATATAATATTATATGATTATATAAAACATATATATATATATATATATATTTAGAAGTTAATAGTATCCTATGTTCTATAACTTTTAAAAAATAATTTGTTCCTATCTTTCCTCTCTCCTCTTTAAAATAGTAAGTAATAAATTTAAGTTTTTAAATAGAAACATGTATATTTAATTAGTTTAAAAATAAGACAATTTTAATTGATATTTGTATACTAGGGTGAAAAAAGTAGTTTGCGAGACTGAAGATTAATTAGCGCCTTACCTCCAGTCTTTTTATTAAAGTATTAATAACATTAAAAATTCTGGTTCAAAAGTGTTAATACTATTTTAAAGAGTAAGATGGGGATTGGATTTCTGAAAAGAAAAAAGTATAATATGTTTTATAATTTTAAAGATATTGTATGTTATTCATTACAAACAAAATTACGTCTTATGCTTCATAATAAAATATGCTTCTCTAATCTATTTTTTACTTTTTTGTTTAATTACTAAATCAAATTTAATTATAAATTCGATTATAATTATAAGACTTTTTAAAATTATAATCCAATTAGAATGGCTCGTATTTGTCCCAATTCTGTAAATATTGTATTTGTCCAGAAAAATTAACTGTTTAAGAAAGCGATAAATTATCGACAAAAATTATACTCTGTTACCTTTAGTCTAAGAATATAAAAAATGGTATCTGACACTGATCCTGAAGGTCGCATATTTGATTTTATTGTTTTATTTACGGCAGCTAGATTTTTATGTATTATTTTGATTAAACCAACTGCAAAGTGTAATTCTTGATTTATAAAAGCGTCCATAACTTCTGGTGTATCATTTTGGTCAAAATAAGTTTTACTAGTTAATAGGTCTATTAAGTTGATATCTTTATTCAAAGTTTTCCATAAATTTAATATAGTTATAATTTCTGAACGCCAGTCTCCTTCGAGGTAATTATAGTTAATGTTTACTACACCAATACCTATGTAAAAATGTATTAATAATGAAATTCTTTAAGTTTCTATTATTGTTTGATAATATAGAATAAGTTATTGTATGTTTATAAATTATTGATTTACCTCTTAGCTGTAAAATAACCTTGTCACTTTCTTTTTTTTGCCAAGATTTATCAACATTGTCAGGCATATTTAATAGACTTGGCAAATCCTGATCGGGAATGTTTTTTAATGCTTTTTCGATTGCCTAAGAAAAAAATTTTAAATTGTCAAAAGAAATATATCTAATGGAACCTTTTTACCTGGTTATCCGTCGAATTCAATTCTTGTATTCCAAGAATGCTATTATTCCAATTCGAACTATTGACTCCAAAAATTATTTTTAAGTAGGTTTTTAAAATTTCTATATCTTGAGTATTGGTAATTCTTCCACCGTATATGGCTTTTTCGTATAATCCATGGATGTACGGCCACTTTATTGTATTGTTATCTTATTAAATATTAATGATTATAAATAAATTTGACAATGTGAATCTTCAGAAACAACTTACCTTTTGCTGTATATTGTCGGATAACTCTTAAAGCAGCTAATAGATCAGAATCATTAAATTCATAATACTGAGACCACCCTTGTGGTATGTATGTTCTTCGTTCTAACAATATGGAATGAAACCAAGCTAAAGCGTAAATAGACCTAGATTCATCTATTGTGTTACATTTTATATTATCACTTTGGCATACGCTATAAGCGCGCCTTATATTTTTCTTAAGTCCACGAGGTGTTTCGTAAGCAACTTTTATACAGCTAAGTATCAAAGAAGTTTGAATTTTATCCGTCATCTCTGTTGTTATCCACAAAATGAATTCTTTGTTCGTAGTATTTAAAGATTTCAGATGTTCTTCTAGAGAAACCAAAGTAGATGTTGAACATAAATGTAAATTCTTCAAAATCAGCCACTTTGGCTGTTTACAATGTTTTTCAAGTTGTTCTATCTCGACTTGATTTGCACCCATTGTTATTTCAATACAATTATTATTGGTCTGTTGTTTAGCTAACAATCTAAGCTCATCGGAAGGGTCGGATCCTACAGATGTAATTATCATAATAGATCCTACTTTTTCTTTGGCCAATTCAGACATTTTTAACAAAGTTGGAGACAAATCGGAAAGTTCTAAAATAAAATAATAAATAAATAACAAGGTAGAAATAATATTTTAAATTTTAAGAACTTTAATTTAAAGATACATACTTAATTGTTTCAAAACAAAATCTGTTAGAGTCTTATAAAGTTTATCGGGTTTTAAAGCTTGGACAACTAATACTTGTTGAAAATTAGTTAATTTTATTGAACTAGGAATCTTAGTGTTTGACGTTTTTATGTATTCTGACCAAATATTTATGTTTTCTAATTGAAGGTTTTTGTATAATTCCGGGATACATTCCTTATAAAAAGAAAAAAATTGCAACTTTTGTTTCAATTTTTAAAATTGAATTATACCTTGAAACAGTAAACATCAAAAATTCTGTCCTCATCAATCCATTTTGGTATATTATCTTTAAAATTCAATTCTTTATTGACATTAGATATACTTTTTCCTATGAACAGCTCCCACTCCTATTAAATTTAAATAAAGTTAAGATTTATTCTTGATTGATATAAAATTAAAATAGTTAAAACAATTAATACATTTAAACCAAATTCTTCGGGATAAAGTTTATGAGCTAGATGCAATGCAAAAATTAATCTTTGATCAACAAATAAAGATCTTGAAATATGATAGTATACATCGTGCAAAATTTTTGTCTCTCGGTTTAAGTTCCCGATTGATCCCTGAAAAGAATCACAATTACTTTATATATGTAGCTGATTATTGATGTTATAATACCTTTAGTGAGGATTGAAATAATTTAACAAAGACAGTCAAAGAAATTTGAGAAAATCTATTAATAATAAATAAATCTTTTAAAGCAAAATATAATCTTGAGGTATAATTAGCTAATGGTTTGTAAACTTGGCATTCGGTTTCCAATATATTTTGCATTTTTATAGACTCGTTTAGTGATTTTGATATTTCATCACTATTAGATTTTATGCTATCCAATGAGTTTAAAAGGTCCTACATGTTCAAAATACTCAATTTGTATTTAAATGAACCTGAAATATTTTTCATAAATAAATTTCTATTGTTACTTTATTTTCAAGAATATTGTCTTGTGAATCTGCTAAGTCCTTTAAAACATTTTCTTGTAGATCATACAACTTGGTTTTTAATTCTTCTTCAATACGCAAGAGTTCTAAATGTTTGGAATCAAGTTTTGGGTTTTCCACTTGAAGTGCATATCGTAATAACTGTAAATTAGTAATTTATTAAAATTAAACTTTAAGATGTTATAAAATCTTAGTTAGGATATTAAATTAAATTTTATAATATTTACTTGTTCTGAAAGGCTAATTTGATTTTGTGTAAAATTTATTACCGTTAACAAAACTGAATAGTGTGAGGGAAGATTTAAGTGTTCGTTGTTACTAAATAAATATAATTGAAAATTATCATTAAAATCAACTAACTTATCAGCTATTTGAATTGTTGTTCTATTTCCTAAAAATGAGACTTATTTTACTTGGTAAATATTATCATTATTTTAAAAGTTTTAGTGTCACTATGAAATTATTCTACCTTCAATAATGAAATCATTTTTTAATATTGGAACGAGAATAGGATCTAAATTATTTACATTTTGAATCACAATTTTTTTACCAAATCTAAAAAATTCATATTTTATTTTATGTTAATTTGGAGTGTATAAAATTGATTTGTAAACTTACCGAATAGCTAATTCTAGTTTTGAATGAAACTGAGGAGTCTCAAACGATGTATATTCAGTGGAATTAGGAGGTAATTTCTTTTTTAACCACTGTAGTATATTACCATTAGGATCAAGGATCAAAGGATAAAATTTTTCCTATTAATGAAATAAAGTATTTATAGAGCTGAGCCGATGCAATTAAATATTAAATACAGACCGGTTTATACGCGATGTCGGTTTTATTAGAATCGGTATTTTTTTAATGCAATATTAAAAAAATTTATATTAATAAAATATTCAATATTATTATAGAATATTTTTTTAAGATTTAAAATTTATTTTAGTTTTTTTATATATTAAATCAAAGAATTATGCTTTGAAACAATGTGTAGTTGTTTTAATTTCTAATATTCAAAAATATAATGAAAAATATTGTTTTATCCTTGTTCTTTTTAACTAAAACTAAAATTTTGGTAACTAAATATTTCAACGTATTATAAATACTATTTAATTTTTAAAAACAAAGTTTTTTAATTTTAAATTTATTAATTATGCATTTTAGACATAACTATAATATTGGATTGGTCATCAGTTTAATATTAGATTATAATCGAATATTGTAAAAATGTAATATCGCTCCAGCTCTAATTTAGTAGTAAAGTTTTATTAAATTAAAAAAAAATGTTAATTTAAATTTTTTCAAAGCATATTACCTTAATTTGATTTATGTTAATCTGAAATAAAATAATCATTTGTCTGTTTTATTTGATATAAAATTTTATTATTTTAACTTAAACACAATAATATATTTGGCTAACTTGTTTTAGTATGATGGCGTTTTGGTACGAGGTTTCATCGGATGGTAAACCTTCTGTGATCCATTGTAAAATTTGTCTCTCAGATTCCATAAATTTAGAAAATAAAAATTTGTCAACTTTAAGTTCAAATTTCCATTTTTCAAGCTTTTCGTTACGTACATAGTCTGAACACTCCGATAAATATGTTATAAAAGCTGAAGCTAACAGGTTGTTTAATAATAAACTATCTAAGGTACTTGTCAGCTCGGTGATCTATATTAATATTGATAATATTAATAATTATTAATAAGAATTATAATTGTATAGCTAAGAGTGAAAATCACACTTCTTATGAATATCAATTGTGTTATTTGGTTTTTATTAACTAACTTCTCGGGATAGAATAATAAAATATTTGAAGTGAAATTATAACTTGAATTTAGAGTTAATTTTAAAACGATTCATATGATTGTAAAAATAAAAATATATATATATCGCTAAGCATTTACTTGCTGACCCCATCTTGAAAACTCGCCATCTAATTTTTTTACTAGATTTTGTGCTGAATCAATTATTAGTTTTTCCTTGTGGATGTTTAACTCTATTTCAGTTGCTTGTTTAGTGTTAATATTTAGTTGTTCACGCAATTCCAATACATTTTTTTCAACGCTATCCACTCCACCGCTAAGAAGTCTTATTTGCTCTTCAGCGTTTTGTAATTTTCTATACAATTTGGAAAATTTTTTTAGTAAAAATTAATACTTAAAGTATAGAGGAATGTTCATTTTTTTAAATTGAATTACGTTTTTAGTGACATATGTTCTATTTCTAAAGGCTTTATCTTGTGAAGTATACGTGAGTAAGCAACGTTAGCAACTACCCATGAAGCTAAAGGCGCTGCTGCTGCTGATGCTCTTTTTGCATTTTTCGCGTCAAAAGAGTCGCGTTTTAGTTCTAAAAGTTTTTCTACTGAGTAACGATTATCCTCAGTTATTCTACGAGCATCAAAAAATCGAATATCTTCTTTTACACCTCGTTTGGCCAAAAAAGATTTCATGCTATTCCACGATGTGTCTTGTATACCCATTAGACGTAACACTCCTTCTAATATGTCTCTAATTATTTCGGCGGGTGCCCTCAGTGATCTTATTTCTGTTAATGACTCAGGTTTTATATTACTTACTGCCGCCTGTGCTTCTTCTATTAATGGTTCTACTTGAGCTAACTCTGTATCAATCTCTTTTTTTCTAGAAAATGTCTGAGAATGTAATTTTTAAAAATTGTCAGTTAAATAAAATTTTTACCTTTGATTCAATGCATCGTTTTTTATTTGAAATTCTTTTTTTAGATTCTCCATTTGTTCTTTTTTAGTGTTGGCTCCCTGCATAGTACTTGAAATCATCATCAATGCTTGATTAGCTTTTTCTCGTTTTTTTGCTAATTCAGACTCATGATGATCAGCATCAGATTTTAATTTAGCTACTATATCCCTTGCGTTTACTAGTTTTGAAATTCCAGCCTATAAGTTACAGTAAAATATATTAATTATTGTTAATTATATTTTTTAAATTAATATACTTTTAAATGACTTAATCTTCTTTTTATATACTCTTTTTTACTTAATAACAAAGTGCTAAAAGTTTGAATAAATAATAGATAACGTTTAGGACACGTGTTCATCCAATCTTCAGCATCATAATGAATTTGTGGAAAGTGCGAAATGTAATTATTGATTTGTGGGAAGTCTTGATCTAAATTATTTCTGTTAAAAAAGATGAATTAAGATGAACTATAAATATTTTATTATGATAATAGCGTTTATTTTATTTATTATTGTTTTTATTATCTACTTTTTAAAAATAATTTCTGGTATGATTTTCATTACTGTAGTAGTCCATTGATCCAACCAAATAATATCACTGAGGTCTATTATTGCTGGACTATTTTCTAAAAATGTTTTAAAGAAATCACTTCGAGAATCCAAAATTAATATGACGTGTAAGTTTTTCTTTATTCCTGTAGTAAAATAAACACTGAGTAGAAAAATATAATTAAACTAAAAAAATGAATTTACTTTCTATGAAGAAATTAGTGTGCGTTCCTTCGTAGTTTTCTTGCGCCATTTGATCCTTTAGTGGAGTACACAAAGTCTCAAGCTCTTCATTTTGATATAATCCCAATACTTCTCCAGATACAATCATACAACTCACTGTATCCATTACTTCATCTCTTGTCATGTAGAACTCTTCGACGACATAGTAAACCACTTCATCATCGATTCCACATTTTTGCAAAACCTACATAAACAAATTACTGAATAATATTTAATTATAAAAAAATTATTTTGACTTACTGATTTAATATCATTGCTAAAAGTTTTCAAATTGAAGACTTGACGTATATTTGGTGTAACTATCGTAGCATTTCGTCTAAGACTAATTAGTCTCACGGCCAAATTTCTACCAACGCCTAAACGCCCAACCAAAAACAAGCATTTACCAGGCTTAGATAAGGATCTTTCACAATCAGCCACAATTCTGTGTATCAATTCTAAATTAATTTCTACATCTTGAGCCGTTTGTTCTTCAAAATTAATAAAAATGGTTGGAAATTATTCTTGTGCAATAATTGTAAATATTTTTGCATATTTATTGATATGAGTGAGTATACCATTTAATAAAAGTTGTTTTTTAACAATCTGTTTCCAATCACCAATTGGCATTTTTGATAGTAGGTCAACATTTTTTGAATTAATATTACTTTCACATACATATATAAAATCTAAAAAAAAAATATTATCATTTAAAACCTAATTAAAAAAAAAAAATGCTATTTTAAACATAATATGACCTTCATTTTTGTATTCCAAACAATATTTCAAATAAATTTGATTGATAATATCATTAAATAATTTTTTATCTTCTAATTTTACAAGTTTATTGCTAAATATATGATTTGCTTCCAAATATAAGACCTAAGTAAGTTTTAATGTCTTAATTAATTTACTAATTTATTAATATATCTAAATAATTGTTACTTGTGCCATATTTTTCGAATCTGTTATTTGATATCGATTCAAATTGTAACAAAAAGAATTAATAATATGATTGTTGAATGTATAATGAGGCATTTTAACAGTGGTTAATATGTCCCTAGTCTTTTATAAAATTAAAAAATATTATTTCATTTTATCTTAATTATTTTGTAAAAGTAGTACCTTTAACATTAAATCAACAATAACAGAAGAAACCGTTGACTTGTCTGGAATAGTTGAAGATAAATACTCGCTACATATATTTACTAATTCTTGTAATTGTGGAGGTCTATAGTGTTTATTCAAATCAACTTTCATATCAATAAAATATATTTTACTTACTTACTCAAGATACAATATATTACTAGCGGACATAAGTCTTGAATCTATTTCGTCCGTAGACGTTAAACTATTAATTATGGTAAAATTATCATCAATACCAACCCATTCCAATGTAGAAGGTTCATAAAATCCTCCGAAGAAAATTAACTAAAAGTAAACATTCAAAGTTTAGCATTAAAGAATCCTATGAAACCCTAACAGAGTAATATTAAGTTTTTTTTATTTAAAATAATATAAATTTAGATTTTACTATAAACACGACAATTACACTATATAAAAAACAATAGCATAGTGGGGTCGCGGCATAGTATGGACGTGTGATGTATAGTATGGACAAGTATAAACGATAGTTACTAAAATGACTGCTATTAAAATTGCTTTGATGCAAATCTGTTGATAGTTAAAATCTGTTTAATTCAAAGAAATTGATCCATAATTACAAAATAAACATCAATTCCTATTTCCTTAATTATATCTTGATTAGTAGCTCTTAGATTTTAAAGTACAATTTATGAGTAAATATTTATTACTGCCAATATATATAGTATGAAATTAATATTTAATAATTTAATATTGTAATTTTTACGGAGAATTGATAAAAAATGATAAAGTAGTTTATTTTGTTACTTATATGAAAAACATGTATAAAAAACCCAGCACAGTGGGGTCGCGGCATAGTGGAGACGTTGCATAGTTGGGTCCAGTATAGATTTAATCTGACAGTGATTAAAATCACTATCATAAGAAACGCTTCGAAGCAAATCTGTAGATAGTGTTTAATTTAAAAAAATTGATGGATAATTACAAAAGCAACATCAACTTATATTTCCTTAATTATACCTAGATTAGTAATTCTTTTAATTATATATTATATAATTTTTATATTGAATTGTTTTTAAATTATTATTGATTTTGATTTTTAATATGTTAAAAGTAATAATTTTGAACCTACTTTTTATTGTCCTTTAAAGTGAAAGTTTTATTAAAAAAAAAAATGAATTTATTACCATAACAAGTAGATCAATTTGCAAGTTTGAAATTGACATTATTAAATAGATAAAAATGAAATTGTTAATATTAATATGCAATCAGGGAATTTTATAATTACTATTTACAGTACATTTATCAGAAAAGTTAGATTTTTTTACATTTTTATCGTAATAGATCACTTAATTAAAAATCATAGTAATAATCATTTCTAATTAACTTTTGGCGTTTAAAAAGATTCTACAATGGAAATATTCAGAATTTAATTAATTTAAATGATTATATATCTAAAAAAACCAATAAAAAAAAAGTTATTCAATTTAGCCTATTATAAAAATAATAATTATAAAAAAATAGGGCAGTGTATTGCCCTTATAAGATATTTTAAAATAAAATAAAATACAAAACCCAGGATTTTAACACAAAAATAGCATATTTTGGAATACGGTAGCCATTTGCGCATAGAAGATAGGTCGTCGAGACAAATTTTTTTTTTTAATTTTATAGTACATGACATAAGCTTTAATTTGACATATGTTTAAAGGACGCAGTATTTCCTGAACATTTTCAAAAATTAAGTTGAAAAAGTTAGTTTTTGTAAAAAAATTACTATTTTGAATCCCCCCCTGTGAGCAGAATAAGTGTTAGATTTTCAAAAAAATATCAAATGAAAGGGAAATATTTAAGCTTTTAGTATAAAAAAAAATTATGTTGATTTGTTTATTTTTGAAAAAGTTATGAAAGTTTTAAGAAAAAAAAAGGGAAAAAAATGACAAAATTTACCGATTTTTTAATTTGTAATTTTTTGGATATCTCCCCCATTTACGGGGAACGAGGGAAAATTTTTCAATTTTTATGGGTAATGTCTTCAACTAGATACGATTTGTGATCTTTTGACGTATTGTTGAAAGAAATCGGTCCTGTGAGAGCTGACAAAAATGGCAACAGACATAAAAAAAAAAAAACACATCATGGTAAAATTAATACCTTCTCGGCTTCGCATCGAAGCTAAAATTAAAGAGTTTGATGCAATATTTAATAAAAAAAATTTTTTTTCATTTATTGCTCTTACAAGGAACACTTTTTGGAATCAAAAATATACTTTTCTAACACACTGTTTTTAAATCTTAATTAATGTTTTTCTACCACATCTAAGTTTTGATATTATTACTAATTATTAAATAATGAGTATTTNTCCAATAGGTACAGGTAGTGTACACATTACCCGGATAATGTGAACACTAACCATATTTTGTACTTTACCCGTAACATATATAAAAAAAATTATTTTTATATTATTACTGATTTTGATTTTTATATATTAAATTTTAAGTTGAATTTTTTACCATTACTAATTAAAATTGCAAGTTGAACTAAATACTTGCAATTTTCAAATTGACATCATTTAATAGAAAATTTTGTGGAAATTAAAAAAATGGTATTATTATGATTATTATGCAGTCAGGAAATTTTATAATTACTATTTACAGTAAATTTATCTGAAAAGCTCAATATTTTTATTGTAAATAGACTAGATTAGACGCAACATCATTGTTACGCTTAATCTCGTCTATTTACAATTTAGAGTTTAATAATATAGTTATAAAGTTATTTTATAGTGCAATATTGTATGCAACTACAATTTCTGATATTGAGTCAAATTCTATTCATTGATTCAGTAGCACTTCAATGTTTGCAAAATAGATATTTTTTCGTTAACGATTAAATGTTATTGAGCCCTTCTAATTCAAAGTATTTACCTTAAGTAGTTAAACATTCTTGCGAACAGGCATTGAGTAATCATTAATGCATCTTTCTAATTAAATCATACACGAACATGTTCAAGTCTGTCAATGATAAGTCTAATTGGTGGGGGTGGGATTATATGTTATTAGAAATTTGTGAAAATATTTAGCACCAAAAAGAAAAGTGTTGTATACGGGAGTGAATGCTATGTAATTAATGATTTAATAATCGATTATGATACAATTAATGAGCATTTTTTGGAAAATATTTATAATCGCTCAAATATCGTTTATATTTTTCAAAATTTTAATTAATATTATTTTAATGTATTTATAGTCTTAAAATTTAGATACTAAGAAATTTCATTTATCTTTAGGTGATAAAAGAGTGTATGAGTTTGACGATTGTTGGGACGATAGTGAAACGGATAGACTTTGTCTACGAACAGACTCGTATGTAGGTTGTACATTTGAAGGTTCTTGAAGACAATGTAACTTTATCGGAGAATACGTTCATTTATTCGAAAAAAATACTCATTAATTGTATCGTAATCGATTACTAAATCATTCACTCCCGTATACTACACTTTTCTTTTTGGTGCTAAATATTTTCACAAATTTCTAATAACTTATAATCCCACTCCCACCAATTAGACTAATCATTGACAGACTTAAAAATGTTCGTGTAAAAATGCCGCCCTCTAATGACCATTCACAATTCACATTTCACATTTCACATTGTGAAATTGTGTTTAAATATATATTTGTTATCTACTGTAAATCATTAAAATGAATTAAGTTTTGAATATTTCAATTGTAAAATCTTTTTAAACGCTTCCTATGATTACTATGATTTCTATTTAAGTGATGTATTACAATAAAATCCAAAAAAAATATTGAGCTTTTCAGATAAATTTACTGTAAATAGTAATTATAAAATTTCCTGACTGCATAATAATCATAATAATACCATTTTTTTAATTTCCACAAAATTTTCTATTAAATTATGTCAATTTGAAAATTGCAAGTTGAACTAAAAGTAATGGTAAAAATTCAACTTAAAATTTAACATATTAAAAATCAAAATCAGTAATAATATAAAAATAATTTTTTTATATACAAATACTCATTATTTAATAATTAGTAATAATATCAAAACTTAGATGTGGTAGAAAAACTTTAATTAAGATTTAAAAACAGTGTGTTAGAAAAGTATATTTTTGATTCCAAAAAGTGTTCCTTGTAAGAGCAATAAATAAAAAAAAAATTTTTTTTATTAAGTATTGCATCGTAATAAAAAAACTCAGCACAGGGGGGTCGCGGCACAGTAGTGTCGTGGTATAGATGGATGAAGTATAATGATATCTGACAGTGATTAAAATCACTATCAAAAATAAACGCTTCGATGCAAATCTTTAGATAGTGTTAAATTTTAAAAAAATTGGTGTTTTATTCCAAAAGCTACATGATCTGATGGTTCCTTATTAATATCTCGATTAAGATAAAGTATATCGAATGAAAAAGGGTTTATTAAAAAGTATTATTTCTCATAAAAAAATTGTGTGGATCCATACACTTTTCAATAAGTTATAGCATTATAAAGTTAAAAATGTAAAAAATAAAATCGAGATTTTTCACACGAAAATAGCATTCGGTAGCCATTTTCGCCGTGAAGACAAGTCCAGAGGTCAAATTTTTTTTTTTAAATTAAAGTATATTACATTAGCATTAATTTAAGATGTATATAATAGTGTCAGACCTTCCGGAACATTTTCAAAAGTTAAGTTGAAAAAGTTGTCATTTTAAATCCCCCCCTTTGGGCAGAAAAAGGGTTAGATTTACAAAAAAAATATACCAAATGATAAGTAAAAACATCAAACATCTATATAAAAAAAATTATATTGATATGTTCATTTTTGAAAAAGTTATAGCAGTTTTAAGAAAAAAAATTGAAAAAATTGAAAAAATTTTTAAATTTGTAATTTTTTTGGAAGTTTCCCCCATTTACGAGAAACGAGGGAAATTTGTTCAATTTTTGAGGGTAATGTCTTTGACTAGATACGATTTGTGATCTTTTGACGTATCGCTGAAAGAAATCCGTTCGGTGAGAGCTGAGATAAAGTGGTAACAGACACAAAAAAAAAAAAATAAAAAAAAATAAATAAATAAACACATCNAAAAAAAAAAAAAAAAAAACACATCATAGTAAAACCAATACCTTCTCAGTTTCGCTTCAAAGCTAAAATATTTTATGCCAGGTAAATTAAATACAAAAATGATTTTTGTGTTTTATTTTATAATATTATAGAATGTTATTTAAACATTATTCGTATATAATATAAAAATGTTTTAATATATTTATAACAATATAAATTATAATTTTGGACTATATGTTTCATTAATTTAGTTTGTTTTAAATAAATCATTTTCAAGTTCTATTTATTAAAATAAGTGAAAAAATGACCAAGTTTCAAAAAAGTTAACGCTATTAAACTAATCTGTGTGGTAATCATTATAAACACTCACTTGTTGTATGAAGGCCCCAAGTTTTATGGTACCCCATTTATCGGGCTTAACATGGTTTAAATTTTTAAAATGTAAAATTAGACGTTCTGAGTTTTTCGGACGATAAAATCTGCCTTTATTGTTCGTAACTACTATGGAAACCTAAAATTTAAGGGAAAAAACATTTAACGCAAAAAAACTATATTTTTGTTCTAAATAAATTATGGATGATGTTTTAATTTAATCTTAAATTATTATTTTTGTTCACCTGTGCTATTTTTAATATTAATTGGTTGGGAGAAGTATATGCGTTGCAGTGGATAGTTATACATTCGGTTGCCCTTATCATTTCAGCGCATTTTGAAATTAATTGTCTAAACATAGATAGACTATAAATGTAATTTTTTTAGAAAATTAAAATTAATATACAGGTGAATCACTTAATTAATTAAGAAACAAAAATAATATTAATAATTTTATTATTGTTTTCTTTCAATTAATTAATCATAAAGTATTTTTTCTGTTCATTGCTTATACCGTATATGGAAGTTAACTTTAATTTATCAAATAGCAACACATATAATTAAATATTTTATTTAATAGATGATGATCTAATTAAGAAAATTAACGGAAAATGTACTAGTATTTCAGAAGTTTTTAATATATTTATACCTAGCCGTGAGAAATGTACGATCATAAAATGTCTAATTTTAAAAATAGTAGCATCAATTATTCATCTGTAGTCTTTATTTTAAATTATTAATAACTTCAGAAATACTAGTACAAACGTTATTATCGACCAATTATTTTTTTTAATTAAAACATTATTTAACAAATAAGCTAGTTAATTATGTGTGTTGCCATTTGAAAAGTTTATATTCTTATGAAGTATAAGGGATATACATAAGAAACACTTTATGTTTGAATTCAATAATACATTTAACTAAAAGAAATAATTAAAAACTTATAAATAATATGTTTATTTTTCGATTAATTAAGTGGTTTATGATAAGTGAATCACTCTGTAATTTTTTTTTGTGGGAGTTTAATTGATAAAATACCTTTTTCCAGAACCACTAGGACCAATAACAAAAACAGATTTGCTATACTTTATCCAATTTATTAATATGTCGATTGCTTGGGATATCCTTGGCGTCTTAATAAGATCTCCAGTGTTATAACTACATGGTTCTATAAATTGATAACTATCAATGTTGTCCCTTTCTTTGTTATAAAAGTAGTAGTGTAAATCTGTTTCTGGAACATATTCTTCCGTCATTTCTAAAACCTTTGAATATTCAAAACAGATTGATAATATAAGTCATTGTTTTATAAAGATAACATTGTAATATTACCATTTTAGTAAATTTTTCTTTTGTTAATAAAGTCATGTTGGCTCCAAGCCCATTAATAAGACACATGGCTAAATGAGATTTTGTTTTAACATCAGAGAGTATATAGAAAAAATTCTTCATTGTGGACACAATAGAACAATTACAGATATACTGACCGTTCTTCTCTAACCATTTAAGTGCTAAGGAATTTGTAATCAAATTAAAAGTTTAATATTATTAATTATTTATAAAATCTTATCCTAGATCAGCCATTTAAAAAAAAGGGAAATATAATCCAAATTTTGTTTTTTGAACATTTTATTTAACTTTAAAAATGTCAAATGTAGTTTATATTCTGTTGAATTAAATTTTTACCGTTGTTGAAATATTGCTCGTATTCTTTTAAAATCATACTATTTGGAGAAATTTTTATCCATGAGTCAACGATGTGTTGGATATTAATATCTTCGTTGCTGTAATTAGAATTGTAAACACTAATTTATACTTGATATTCAATGTTAGCATTATTAATAATTAAAATGAAAAATGGAGTAGTTATTGTGCTTACCTTAAAAATATAATACCCATTCTAGATATAGTTGCTGGAGATGCATGCTGTAATGAATTTGTTTCAAACAGAAAATTTACATTAGATCCAAATTGTATTCTCCAACCAGATGGTAGTGTCAATAATCTATTGTCATCTAGTACAGAGTTTAATGATTCTATCCATTCTGGGTCGACATCTCCATCAAATATTATCCATGACATAACATCTAATACAAGGTAATTAGAATATTATTTAATTATAAATGATTACTACGATGAAAGTTTTATAGTTCTAATTATTTTCTTTTAAAAGTTAAAATGGTAAATGAAATAGAAAATCAAATTAAATTATAGTCAATATCTATGGATATAAAATTTAGCTATACATAATGTTTACCCGAATTTTCTGAGTAAGCTTGCTGTGCAGCTTTACTAATAATACCATCTATCCACTGTCTTGTATCCAAATCTACTTTTCCTAATAATTCGATTTTAGATTGAGCTTTAGGGTTAATTTTGTGCATTTTTACGTTGCCTAATGCCTAAAATATTATGGAACAAATATGTATTGAAAATAAAAATATAAAAAAGTTCCGTTTTTATAAAGTGATCCAATCTACAGAAATGAGTTGTTTTTTAATCGAAGTATATATTATCTTGTTCATGGTATAATGGTATACATGTTCCATGTATATCGATTATTTGAAATTATTCAGATGGAAAAAAATCCATTCAATGGGATGAGGTATTGTAGGGACGTTTTTGAGACAAGTATAGATGATATTTGACTATGATAAAAATAACTATCATAAAAATACGTTTCGATCCATATCTGTAAATTTCATTTAATTTTAAGAAATAATTATTGGATTATACCAAAAGTAACATCAATTATTATTTCCTTAATTTTATCTTAATTACAAGTTTTATGATTTATAAGTACAATAATTAATTAAATTTAGTTTTTATTTTTAACTATTATTTATTTAGAAATTATTATTAATATTATGTATTGTTATTTTTATGGAGAAATTATAAAATATTATAAAGTAATTATATATTTTGTTAATTCTATAGCATACGTGTATAAAAAATATATGTATGGATTTATTACAAAAAAGGGAAAAAATGACTCATTATTAAAATGTTGATTATTATGATCTTCGTTAGTTCATTATTATTTTAGTTATAAAATTAAAATCGTAATTTATCACAAAGTTTTGGAAGTCAGGACATTTTTTTTTTTGGGTAAAGGACAGCTCATTTCTTTTAATTGGTTCAACATTTAAAATTGCAAAATATTTTACTAATATAAATTTTTTTTAAAGGGCTGGGGATGTAAATGGGGAACTTAATTCGCTTTTTATATAACTAAACTGCTTGACCTAAAATATAGGTATAAATTATGAAAAAAATAAAAGTAGACAGTTATAATAACACGAAAATTATGATTTTTACATTAAAATAGTACTTATTGTTCAATTTCGAAGGCCATAAAAGACAACTCATCTGGAAAATTTTTTTTACATGTAGTATGTAACATAAGCTTTATTTTAATATATATTTGTTGCTTTTTGTATTTACGGATTATTTTTAAAAATTAATTTGTGAAGTTAATTATTATGCAATAGTTATTATTTTGAATTACCACCTGTAAGTTAGTAGAGTGTCCGTTAAAAAATAATAAAAAAAACACCAAATAAAAGATAAATACTTAAGGTACATATAAAAAAATTATTTGATTCATTCATTTTTAAAGAAGTTGTAACAGTTTTCAGAAAAAAAGTTTTAAAAATATCAAAATTTACAGATTTTTAAAATCGTAATTTTTTGGGGATTTTCTCCATATACGTGAAACAATGAAATTTTTTTTTAATTCTTGAAGGTAATATCTTCAATTAGATACTATTTGTGATATTTTGACATATTGTTGAAAAAAATCTGTTCAGTAAAAGCTAAATAAAAGTAGTCACAGATGCTTTAAACCACGGTCTTATTGTTAATATACGTATTTGAAAAAAAAATGTGAACTTTACTTGTGCTAAAAGTTGAATTATTGTAGTTTTTCCAGTTGATGGTGGACCCATTATTACTACACCCATTCGTTGTTGAAGTTGTTCATAGAGTTCTATACATTTCTGCTCCTGTATTATTTTATAGAGAATATTGTTAATTTACTGATATAAATGAAGTTACTCATAAAAAACAATTGAATTGATAAGATAATAATTGATTTAAAAAAAAAAAATTTCATTTTTGATTAAAATTAAAATAATAAATAATTTTAAATTTAATTTATCGATTTAAATTTTACTATTAAAAGTTTTGGCAAAGTTAATGGCACGCACTTAAGGCAAAATTGATACAGTATGATGTCATTTATTCGTTTAATCTTTATACCTAAATTTATTTAATTACTAACATTTTTTCAATAATTTGTGAAATTTACATATTTTTAGATGAAGAATTGAAAAAAAAAAATTATATTAATTTGGAAAAATAAACTATACATTATTATAAAATATACGGGATAATGATGAGGACTAATATAAAAAAATCAATTAAATTTTCTATGTTATGTCAATTAAGTTTGTATAATATTTATGAAAATTAGTGTACTCCCTTTGTAAGTATTTTTAAAAAAGTATTTTTATCTACTTATTTATTTTGTAAAATTATGCAAATTATTAAACTTGAAATATTACTTCACTGTAGTTCCTTTCTATACCTGATGTCTGAATACATGTGTTACTTTATATTTTAAAATGAAAATTTATATAACCAGATAGATTATGAGAACCAATCCCTAGTGACACGTCATAAACTATTGTTTTATCAACAGTTTTAACCGCTTGATGTTCTAGGGTAATGATTTCAACAAACCATCAGCATCTTGTGCAATCAATCAAACACTTATCTATCTAAATTTAAGATACACTCTACGATCTCCTTAGTGACATACCATAAACCATTGTTTTACTAACAGTTTTAACCATTTGATGTGCTAAGGTAGATTTTCGAAATGCATTTATTAAATAGATAATCCAATTAAAGAATTAAAAAAATTCTTAATTGGAACAATTCACAAAATACAAAATAAAAAAAATAATTGTCTTAATAATTTATAAATATTTAAAACTAAAAATAAAAAGATAAAAAGGTTAAGTTATTTTTTTAGAATTGCATTACTTATGTGAGATTTAGATAATAAACACCAAGTGTAAAATAAGATTCTAAGTTAGAGAGAACACAATCGTGAAACATTCTGGTGCAGAGATGCTTCATGACCAAATTTTTAGAAAAATAAGGTGATAAATGAGTTAGAAATCGCTCTTTTATAGGCCTGTTTTATGAGGGGGAGACTTAATGTTTTATATTTTAATTGCACAATGCTTCTCATCGGCTAGTCAAGTAAACTTGAATAGACCTATGCGCAATCTATTATTCTACTAATTTGAGTTAATGTTTCATATTTGTATTGGTGTTTTATATCTATCATCTTCCATAATAATGTGGTTTATTAGAAAAATCATCATTATAAAAATATAAATAAAATAAAATTATAAGTTCTAAATATCTATTACAAATATTTCTATAATATAACTAGAATAGTTTATATTATTCTCATAATATTCTCAAAATATACTTGGGAAACAAATATTACATTCACGCAATATTTAAAAGGTATATTTCTAAAATATTATAAAAAAATATTTTGACAATATTTTGTAAGATTTTTTTCGGACATATTAGTAAAGTGCAAAAACTCAACCCGTTTCGCGGGATTAAAACCTTGTACTTCGAATACTAAAGACACATGCGTTACTAACTGACCTCAAGGTTATTACGACTAAGGGGTGATAAAAAAAGATTATTCAAGGTAGTTCAAATTTCTAAAGTCATTTTTCCCGTTTCAAAAATTCAAATTAAGTGCAACTTTATATTCAATTTAGATTAGATTTCTATAACTTTTTTGAAAATCGGTGATCCCATTACCATGCCTCCACTTGTAAGTTAGAATATGATCTATATCATTGATAATATAAAAATATATTCTAACTATAATTAAAAACTTTTTAGGGTTTTAAGTATCATAGGACAATAATAAGATATAATCGAGCTGATAAAACTCAAAAAATTTTAACTTTTAAATGGTCATAAAACTAAACACAGAAACGGAATCCAACCTGCACTCTAATCAACATGGGTTCACGACTGACAGATCAACGGAGATTGCCATAGACCAGATGATAAATTGGGTCGACGATAGACCAGAAAAATACGTCATGATAGCCTTCTTGGACATAACAGGTGCGTTTGACAACATAGTCTGGGATCAACTAATCAGGGATATGGAAGTACTCACCGCGTCTAGCAAATCGGTTAGACTGGCGAAAAGCTATTTGAATGGTAGAACGGCACTATCAACAGTGTTGTTGAGTAAGGGGTGTTCCCAAAGGGACAAATTACGATCCTTACATGCGGAGAATAGCAGCGAATTCCATATTGACAGAAAATCGGTTAAAATATACGGAACGAATCCTATACACGGACGATGTTGCTATACTCGTAGCAGCAACCTCCAAGAGGGTACTTATAGCTAGAATGGAAGGAGCTCTTGAGCCACTTCCTAGGTGGTCAAATAGATTTGGTTTTGCATTTTTTCCGCAAAATTGCAAGGCCATAACCATAAAACGGAAACTATGGATGGGATTTACCATTGGTATGAGAGATACCAGAATCACATCAGTGATCCAAATTAAATATCTTGGCCTCCATATGGGAGGTGGGGCTCAAATTCAATCCCCATGTCTACCAACTAGTGAACACTGCTGAAGATATGTATAGCAGAATGAAGGTAGTATCTGGCGTCAACTGGGGATGCGACCAGAGTATTGCGGAAATAATATACAAAGCAGTATTCCTACCGAAGATTATCTATGGAGTGAAATTTTGGGCTACTCACATAAGAGAATATAGGACAAGGATGAAGCTTGAATCCGTACAAATAAGAGCCCTACTGGCAAGAACCCGAGCATACAGAACAATGTCAACTTTATCACTACAGCTCCTTGCAGGATAGATTCCACTAGATCTGTTTGCTAAACTGGAGCAAAAGAGGAAAATAGCACCTGATGAATATGATTCATACAGGGAAGAAATAATCGATGAATGGCAACATAGAGTCGACATGTCAGAAAAGGGCAGATGGACAAGACAAATAATACCAGATGTTAGGGTAAGATTAAGACATCGATGAACTACTTCATGGACTACTTTGTTTTAAAATTATAAGATAAAATATAATTTCTCCTTTTCAGAAATTAATTGAATCCTTAAATTAACAGAAATATAACTCTATCCCCCTTCTTTTTCTTAAAAATGATATATTAATTTTTTAAATAAAAGCATACAAATAAAAAAATTAATCTAACTAAGAAAATGATAGGTTGATAAAAACTTTTAAAGATGTTTAAAATATATTAGAATTTTTATACAGTGCTCTTAAGAATAGAGTGGTTTATAAATACCTAGTTATATAAATAAATAGATCCACAGTAGTTCTCAATTAATTGTTTCCATAATACTGGTTCTAAAGTTGTAGTCGAAAAATTATTTTCTTATTTGTAATTCAGTAAATTATGTATGTACTAATTAAAAAACTAAATATTATAACATTTAAAAGGAGAAGAAGGGGTAATGATATATTTTTTTGTGGTAATTTAAGTGTTTACGATTCTAATACTTTTCGAAAAAAAAAATTATATTCTATCTTTTATGTTTAATGGTATTGTGTGAGACATAGTACTATATAATATATAAGTAAATTAAAAATAACAACATTATCTATAACTTATACTATAAAATTTAAATTTTATATTATTCACTCTCGTTTATACTATTTAGGTTACTAAAAAAAAATTATACTTTTTACTTCCACAAAATTTTATATACTGTAATATTATATTATTACATATAATATTAATATATAATATGATGTTATCATTTGTTCATGTATGTAACATATTATGATTATACAAGATCACCAAAACAGGGTTCTCTTATTTAAAATACAAAATAACCTTTTAACTATACGATAAAATCTCCCTCTTGTAGAAATTATGAAGTAACGCCTACACGCAGGAACCCTCTTTTAATTAACCAATTACAATACAAAGCCTCAGCTTCCAGGATCACGATAGAGTCGATGGGCTACCCCCTTCACACTATAAAAAGCCATTTTCCCCCATCTAAACCAGTTCTTTTGACGATTTTAAAATACACAAAATCTACGACACCCTACTCAAGATTTCACTCTCCGGGACTTAGTCGATTTTTTTAATTAATTTGGACTTTATATTTTTTATTAATATTTTTTTCTTTAAAACTAAATGACACTTAGAAATTTTAAAGTGAATTTTGTTTTGGTGAATCTTTTAATTAAATTTAATTTGTTCAATCATTAATAATATTTTATTTTTCTTGTTGTGGAAATAAACATCAAATAATATTTTAAACATTACATTTTTTTAAAATTATTTTATTTTAATGATAAATCCAACCTAAATTTAGACTTTTATTTAATAATAAAAATTTATTGTGAGCTTTTCTTATTGGATAGCTAGTCTCGTTGCTAATGTCTTTGTTTTAACAAACATCGCGCCGGCAGACAGAGTAAAGGTTGCAACTAGATATTGTTCTAGAATTAGGTATGTTAGGTTAGAATATATTTGTAAGCCTATGCGTATTGGGTAGCTAGTCTCGTTGCTAATGTCTTTGTTTTAATAAACATCGCGCCGGCAGACAACGCAGAGAAACTTACGAATATATTTGCAGTGTTTAAATTTTGTCTTGGTTATTATTGTGCCGCATCCTTTCAAGGTGCTTTATTTTAGCACCGGGACACATTGGGCCATCACAATTCCGCCCTGACAAATCTTTTACATAGATATAAATATTTCTGAATCTTGTTTTGGCCAGGCCAGAGGAAAATTTAAGAAATATTGGTATCGATCTCTCAATAAAAAAATATACTCTCTAAAAAAATACTTATTCAATAAACGTAAAAAAAAATCAATAAGTAAAAAAATCAAAATTGTTTTTATAATAAAATACAGAGTGTTTAAAATCTTTTACAAGTAAGATCAGTCTTAGACTTTGTGTAATTAAATCATATTATTTAAAGTCTTGAGTCGTTTTTTGTAATTAATTATATAGACTATATGACATATAGTGTAAATCGTATACGTAGTGCGTTTAATACGGAAATCAACACTGGATTACTTGAAATATTATTGTATTATACAGGACGAAAGGTAAGTACAATTTAACCTATGCTTTCGAACTTCCAACAATCTATTGCGTGATAAACCATTAATAATTAATGAGAGAAAGAATTAATGAGAAAATTAATTTAAATAAAATTGAAGACAATTAAATCTACAAAAAACTTAAAAACTTATAATAAATAATAAACATAATAATTTACTAAGTAACTACCAATTTCTTTTTATATTTAACTTATACAATCTCTTAACTATAATAATTATCCAATCTCTACTTTAATAACTTTTCTATTTCTTTTCTTTTCTTTCTTTTTATTTTTGGTTTATTACAATACATAGTAAATTAGGAGCCATATGATAATTTTTAATTATTATAACCAAAGTCTAAAAATCACTAGTTTACTAAATATTGAAGTTCGTAACATTAACCCTTGCGTGCCATTTCTTATGTTCCCCTATAAATACGAAAATAAATAAAGGCTACAAGAGCACTCTCTTTAATTGTTATACTAAAAAATGTTAAAAAAGTGTTTAAAAATGTTTTTCACTAAAAAATGATTTTTATATCTAAAAACTTTTGCATACCCACTTAAAAAAAATACTAGTTCACCCAAAACGTAAATAGATTGATTAACAGTTTTTAATTAGATATTTGATTTTTTCTCATAAATATTTTAATATCGAATTGGAATAATGTTAGAATTGTCAATCGATTTCAAACCCAAACATTTTATTATCATAAAATAAAATATTTACTTGTTTTTGATTTGCTTGCAAGCCAAAAAATTCGGCAGATTTTTGTATTTTTTGAATTAAAGATTCATGTATTTGCGCCTTATTTAATTTTTTTATTTCTGGAAATATTTGACTTATCAACGATTTAAATAATACGCTATCGTTGTATGTCAATTTAGATATAGTATTGAGTTCTAAGGCTTGTACTATTATTGAACATTCGTCTGATAGAGTTTTTTGAGTAGTTGTAGCTTTGAGAAGTGTTCCACAAAAGCCAATAACTGTTTTTATGGCACGTAAACCCCAATCGTAATGTTGTTGATTACTTAAAAGTTGCCTTAAATATCAAATAAGAGTTATGTATACTAAATTTTACAATAATTGTTAAATTGTATAATTTTACATTGCTGATTCAAAAGTTTCAACTAGTTTTATAGCTAATATATCTGGATATTTGAATCCTTCAGCATGCAGCGACACATTAATTATTAAACTTTGATCTGGTTTACTCATAACAATAGGTCTAAATAATTGTTTAAGATTGTCCGGTAGTTTGTTTCTTCCACCATAACCTTGTCCAGCTGGATTTAATGTAACAAAAATTCCCACATTAGGATTTAATTCGATCTAAAAAAAATATACATTTAATAAGAAAATAAATATTTTCCTATGTATATATATATAAAAAAAAAAACGAACTTTTTTATCATCCAAAATAAAAAATGTATCTTTATTTTTTATAGCTTCTTGTATAGAAAGAATTTTTGTCGATATCATTGATAGAGTTGTATCTTCAAGACGATTAAACTCATCAAAGCAACCCCAAGCTCCACATCTAGCTAAACCAAGAAGTATACGAGTCATTGACTTAATATCAATACCTTCATCACAATTGAACACCAAAACTTGGCGACCAAATAAATTTCCGAGAGATTTAACTGACTCTGTTTTTCCAGTACCAGCAGGGCCATATGGATTGCCCCCTAATCCCATGCTCATTGCCTGTAATAAAAATGATATAAAAATGTATACAATGTTTAGGGATTGAATGATCTCACTTGGGTCAATGTTAAAAAGCAATTGTCCGTAAGAGGCGTGTGAACTAGTTTTGGTATAATTCCTTGGTATTCGTAAGAATAGGAAAATTCTGCATTGACCATTCTTATATTTATTTCACCGTCGGTTGAAGCATAAAACCTGTAATTAAAATTCATATATTAATTGCGTCTTCTGTAATTAATTCTATAAGTACCTTAATCTCTTTTGCCATTCCCAATCATCAAGCGCCGAGACACGAGACTCAATAAGTTCATCAATTACTCTTAGATGAAAAATTGTATCTAAAATTAATGCTTTTATTTTTAAATTCAATACCCGATTTTGGTTTGTAGCACTTTCTAAATTTAATCCTGTATATGTATTTAGTTGATTCTGAAATTGATATAGTTCAAAATCATTTATTTCAATTAAAGATTTTGCCAAAAAATTTTAACAATCGATAATTTTATTACCTTTAAAGATTTTTGAAGCTGCTCTAGTTGACGTTTTTTAATAGCTTCTTCGCATCTTGAGCTGAATAGAACTTCATTAACGATGCACAATATCTGAGAAGGATACTTAAGGGGGTCTGTTTCTTTTAGACAATTAATAAAATTTTTTTTCAAAGAGGATGTTATTTCAATCATTAATGAATGTAGCCACTCCTATTCAGTACAGTCTTTCTTTAATTTAATGAACAATAATAAGATTAAAATGATTTACTTCAACATGATCTGTTACTTGCACTGGCTTTTCGAGTAAGACTATTTCATTCTGTGGCGATTCAATCGATATAATGTTACCTGAAGAATTAAATTGAACGTTTTGTACGCCACTAAATAATTTTTTCAAATGTGCTTGAACAACTGAATTTTTTTTTGTTTGACCAATCATTTCCAGCAAGTCTTCATCACTAAGAAAATAAAACCTCGGAAAACTATTTCGTTTATCCTTGAGGAAATATAATTTTGAAAAACATAATTCGATTAATGTAAAGTATGACAAATTGATGCTTACCTCTAAAAAATTATTTAAACACTTTTTTGTTGTTGCCAACAAACTTAATATAGATTCTAAAATATGTTCTATGTTATTTATTTTTAAAAAATTTAAAACTTTTGTGGTGATAGATTGTTCTAATACATATTTAAAATCTCTATCAATTCTATCAAATCTAGATTTTGTGTCTTGGTTTAACTTTAAAGACTTATTACCAAATATTGGATCCATGTATAGCCACCTTAAAATATGTTTTGTATAAATGCTTTATTTGTTTGCATTAGAATAATTAATCAAAAATTATCGTCCACTTACTTTCTTTGGATGTTTGACAACCGTGTCAAACAGGTCTCAAGTTCGAGTAGCTTTTTTTCCCAAATTAAAGATTTTTCCAAAAACTGTTCATCGTTAGATATATTTTTAATTGACTGTAATAAGCATTGTTTATCACCTATCTAACAAGCAAATCAATTAAATATTTAAAAAAATCACATTTCAAACTTTTTCAATAGAATTACTGAAGTAAAGAGTGTTTTAAAGTCGCCAATTATATGAATTTTATTTCCTTTTGAATCAATATGATCAATTTTAGTGAAGAAAGTTTCAAATTCCCATACTTCTAACTCTGAAAATGCATGTCTTATAGTTATTTCACCAGATGCTCTAGAGTTCAATTCCTATGTACAAAATGAGAATTAATTTGACAACAGTATAGTTTTGAGTGCTTAAAAATTTAAAGTATTTATACAGACGTATATACAGAACTCAAAAATAAATTGTTATACTTCAGTAAAATATAATAATTTACCATCTTTTTTATTAAGTTCTTTAAATATTTTTTACGAGTTTATTTTATCTTTTAGATTACACTTGTCTTAATAATTAATATAATATTATTTTTCATTGACAAAATAAAAAAATATTTTTACTTGAATATGAGTAATTTTATTTTTAATAGTTTCTTTGCTGTTGATAAAATCTTCTAACTTTAAGTTATTTATATTTATATGAGACATGCCAATAACTGAAAATAGTTCTCTCCAATGTTTTTCTAAAAAAGCTTCACCTTGTAAATATTTTATATAAATGGAAAAATCCTAAATTTTTACGAAATATAAAAATATTATTCACAATAAAACAATGAATAGATAAAACTTGTGTAATTTAATGAGATCACTTTTAATGTTTCTATCTCGTTGTGTATATTAATTGTCAACGGTGATGTTTCTATTTTCTGAAGTTTTTCTTGCCATTTTAATACTAAATCCATAATTTTGTTATATGCTTTGTTTCTACAATTTACCCAATTTTCTTGGCCTATTTCTTTGAGATCTAAAAAAATATATTTTCATGTCTACATTAATGAAATTTTTTTGTTAATGAAATAATAACCATTTATAAATAGATCGAAATAACCCCACATGTTTTCTAAATAGCTTAGTTCTATTTCGATTGAATTATATTGATTAAAATCTGGCATTTCCACAAGAGCTTCCTTATTATCGTTTCTGAAATTAATATTTTCATATAAATTTTTGTTTGAAATATTAATTGAATAATTGCTTTTTTTATAAAATTTAAAATTACATTAATTTTTTTTTATGTTCATTTAACATATTCCATTCAGCTCGATTTTTTTTTAGGAACTCAATGACTTTGTTAAAATTAAAATTTTTGTCTTCTAAAAATTTTTTAGGTTTATTCATTTGCCATTTAGACTTGAACATGTCATACATATTTAATAACTTTTGTCCTTCTTCAAGTAAATTAATTTTCATAGCTTCAATTTGTTTTTTCATAATAACTTGATGATTATCTAAAGTATTTTTCAAATTTTCCCAATCAGATTGTACCTTACTAATTTTTTCTATTCTTTCGTTAGTCCAGTTTGATAATATTTTTTGCTTTTTAACAGTTTCAATAAATAAACCGTCCATCTACGAAAAAGTATATAAAATAATTGTGAAAATAAACTTTTATAATATAAACCTGTATTGCTGCATCGATAATGTTACAATGAATAGCACTCAATTGTTTTGTTGATGATACTTGCTGTCTTAAAGTAGATGTGGACTCTTCAATGAATTTTTCTAAAGCCACGATATCGAAAAGAATTGATGAATGCAGCATTATGGTTAATGAATCCCAATAACGACGATTGTGTATTTCAAGCTCTAAACGAATAGCTGCAGTGCTTATTATAAAACATTCGACTCTTAATTCGGCGCTAAAAATATAGATTCTTTCAATTATATTTATTTTTAATATTTAGGATATTTATATAAACCAATTAAGTTTGGCAATTTCTTGACCCCATGATTTTGATGATCTAAAATTTAATTCCCAATCGTGAGCCGTTTTAATATTTTCTTGGATTAACATCTCTATGTCCACCAGACCTAATGCAACTTTGTTTTCCCATTCTTTTAAAACATTTTCCAATCGCTCGAAAAGTTCTCCAGCTCTTGTGTACAATAATAGAAACTTTGAAGCATTACTATTCAAGATTATATGTAAAATTACTTGTCATATTCTCGAACTTAATAGTTATTTAAACTTACCGGTCAATAATGGACGCAAATATAGAAGTAGAAGAATCTACTAAACCATGAAAGTGTATAGGAATTAATGTGAATTTTTTTAGCTGGGCAAAATACTTCATCCGTATTTCTTCCATTGGAGGATCAAATTTAAGTTGTCGTTGTCTTTATTTTTATATGTAAAGTTTAAAATTTAATTTATTGTGTTGCATAAATATTTTGTATAAAAACAATTTAAAATACTTTTTTATGAGTTACCTAAAAATTATTTCAAGTCTAAAATCTGGTAGATGTTGATTCAGTGAATTCAACCCTATTTGGTATCGATGATTAAGAGCTTTATATATTTGATAATCTAAATGAGTTTTCCATGTACTACAATTGGAAAACTATACATATAACTTGATTAGAGTACATTTTTAATTAAAAATAATAATAATTTTAGTACTTTTTCTTCGACTTGTTTAACAATATCTCTTATACTCTTGAGAACTTGTTTCCAACGATGCTGTTCTTGTAATATATCTATTTCCATTAAATTTATAATCTAAAAGTTATTATAATATTGTTAAAAATATTTAAACTACGCGAGGTTAATTAAGGTTTGAACTACATAGGATATAATTTTTATAAAATTTAGGTATAATAGTAGAACAAGATATAGTTTCCAATACAATCAGAAAAACGACAGTATAGTGTCGATACATGTACATTTTATTTGTCTTTTAAAGTACGATTTAATTTTTTTGTTGTTAATGAGAACATCCATAAAAATTTAAGAACCGCTGAATCATAACGTTTTTGAGATATAGGTTACCTTGTTCGAAACTACTTGGTGGTAGTTTGCTAATGTTTGGTTTTCTAATGATATTTTTTCCATTTGTCTTTTCATTTCTAATATGTAGTTGTCAATAGAATTTACATCTGTCCAAGTGACGGTCTGTTCTCTTTTAACTAAATTCATAAGTTCCACTGCAGAAGATAGCATCATAGGTCGTTGGGAAGGAATCATACGATCTCCTATCGTATTATGAAAAGAAGCAATCTAAATTTAAAGTTATTATTTTATATAATTGTTTATAAATTATCGATTAATGATACTTATAGTTAATTCATACTTGTTCAAGTGATTTAGCTTGTTTAATAAATTTGTTTCCTGTTTCTGCAACGAGCTCTATTTCTGATGGAATAATGTAACCAAAAATTTTCAACATACGGATTTCACGTATGAGCAGATCAATACTTGGATTAAAATTGACTTTCATTAATTTGTCTGTTTGGAAATATACTACTGGATCATTTATATTGTGTCTACATATTATACATATTTTGAGGGTTATTTTATTTAAAGATTTTTGTTTACTTAAAAAAGATTTAAAATACTGCAAATGACTTACTTAAAACTATTGTTTTGTATGGAATGTTTCTTATCTCTAATCCAATCGTTAAAAATTCCCATTGCTGTATCAGAAATACTAGACTTATGATTTTCTATCGATACCTTCAGTTGACCATAATCATTCAAATTATTCAGTGTCCTACTACTCACTTTTTCAATTTCGTTCAACTACAAGTTTATTTAGTATATTTTATTAAAAAATCTTGTACACATATTGTTATATTATTGTGTAAATAATATACAGTGATCTCATTATGAAAACTACCCTGCATTTTTTCGTGAAACAATGATTTTTTCTTAAAAATATACTGAATATAATTTAATTAACTTTTAAAATCATGATACATATCAAGTTAATAAAAAAAAGACTCACTAAGAATAATTTATAATGGACACTTTCAAAAGTTAAATGAACCTATTATTATTTTAATGCCATATAATTATTTAATACAAAAATAATCTATTCTCCATTAAATGGTATGATATTTGATATTTATCATAATTTAACAAAACAATGAGATTTGGTATATTTAATATATCACATTGTATATGAATATATATATATATATGTATATAATAAAATTATTTACTTGAGCTTTTTGTTGTTTTAATGTATACAAATTTCTAATTATTGGTTGTAATTCAACAAGGTGCAATGTGTTCATTTTTTGTGAATTATCTCCATCGACATCTCCTAATTTATTAACTATGTTTTGTAAGCAATTCAAAAAGTTTTCTAGTTCTCCTTTTAGTTGATTGTTAACATTGGGACGTCCTATAATATCTTGATAGCGAATAAATTCACGAATGAGCTGTACATAATGAGTATTTATTTATAATGTCATATTTAATTTAAAAAAAAAAAATTATTCTTGCCTCAAATGTATTTGATTTCTTTCGATTTATTAAATTTCTAAGTTTTCCGACAATTACTTCTTCTGTCGGTTTAAGTTTCTTTTCAAAATTTTCAACAACGGCTCTCCATGTTTGGGTGGTATGCGAATTTAAAGGAGTTAAATGTTTAAACTCTAAATCGATTGAAAAAAATATTTGGAACATAATTAAATGTTTAATTCATTTTTTCACTCATATAGTTTATTACTTACTGTTAAATGACTTCAAATTATCACAAGATCTCAGTTTTTCTTGTTCACTAGGGGTAAGTAATTGTAAAATTTGATTATTCAAACGGATTATTGAAATAGTCTGAAAATTTTTTAAATGTAAATATATATTCAAATTATAAATATGTTATTTTAGTATTACTTCGTTTATGTAATTACTAAATGATATAATATTTGTCGGCAAATATGTCTTTCCAACCCATTTATTTAAATGATAGTTAGGCCAATATAATTCAGTTAATTGTTTGCAAGTTTTTATCCATTTATCACAAGCATTTTTACAAATTTTTAATAGTTCAATTGACTTATTGTAATCTCCAATCCATATATCAGTTTCGTTAGCGAATCTTTCGATTATTTTAGTGATGTCATTTCCAAAAATATCAAATAAATGTTCCATTCTAGTTTGAGGGTACATGATATCTTCTATTTTCCAAATATCGTCTAAGCAGTTATGTATTGTCTCTAGGTAATCATCTAGATCTTGTATTAATATTTCTCTGTAACAAAAAAATAATAATATATATATATATATAGTACGTTTAAAAAAATTTGAACATTTTAAGTTTTTAATCTACTTCATTTGTTTGACGACTGATGTTAAATATATAACTATTTTCTCAGCAGCAACAGATTCTTTTTTGTTGTTTGTGTTATTTTGAACAACTACCCAGTAATCAATTTCATCTTGAACATCTAGTATAACTAATCAAAAAATAATTATTTAAAAAAAAACACGTTAAAATATAATTAAATACTACTTCCTAATTGTGACTCAATCTTATTTTTCGATTGTTTAAACAAATTTTTGTGTATAGTTGTTTTTAAACCCATTTTTAGATCCGATACTAAATTTCTTAACTTGGGATCCAAATTAAGATCGTTATTCTCATCCTAGAAAACAAAATTTAATTTAATCAATCAAGCGTAAGTTTTATTTTTTAATACTGTGAAGTATTATTATTATTTTTTGACTACTTACTTTTAGCAATAATGGTGAGTAAATATAATGTAAATTATTGTATAGGGTTTTTGTTGGGGAATCTTGTATTGTATATACACAAATAATTGATCGTATGTTTTCTTCAGTTATACTCTCCTGACGGCTTTTGTAAAATACCATTATTTTACAATTGTTGTCTTCATTTTGAGATATCTATGTTTTTTTTTCGATTTAAAAAATAGTTATAGAATATGAATTAATATTAATATACATAAGACTATTTTTAGCTTCGATGCGAAGCTGAGAAGGTATTGGTTTTACTAAGATGTGTTTTTTTTTTTTTTTTTTTT